GCATTTCTGTCTAATTTTTTTTCTACCTATTCTAGTAATCTCGAAGGGTTATACTAGATTCGCCGAGTTAGTAGGTGAGCTCGCGGGGCTCAAACCTGACTACGTTGCTAACACTAACCCTAGTAAGAGCAGTGCTTTGCAGAATCTATCACCGGATCGGAAACGCGACCCACTGACCCACTGAGAAGATCTGGCAAGAAACTCTAACTGCGTCTGTGGGTTAATTTACTCGGCGAGCCCTTCGTCGCAAGCGACGGGTTCGACGAGAACGATGACCGGTGCTTGAGGTTTCTGTCTATAGTGCTCGTCACGAAAAGCTATAAATTTTGTAAATACACTCCGGGGTTCCAAACATTTGTATAAAATTAAAAAAAGTTTTATATTGATTTTTTTTATACAGGGATATAATAAATATGTTAAACTAATCCGCGAAAACAAAACAAACAAACTGAGACGCATTTGAAACTAGATAGAATGCAAACATTGTTAGCGTTAGCGTGAACATAATATCGATGCTTGAAAGGCAAACGCGACTAACTTTACAGTAGACTAATTTAAATTTGAAATACCTGAAAAAAATTCTATTTTAACGAATCTAGCTAGCTGTAGGATTGAAATGATTTTAATAGACCTAGAAATTTATTTATTTTGCGCATCGAATATGGTTATTGCCTATCATTTATATACAAAGTAGTTATTGTCGCTTAGTCACTTTGCCTTTCAAGCGTCGATATCTTGACTTAATCCGATACTTTCCCGTACCACAAAACATTAGACGACAACGCTAATATAACCCGACCAAGTAAAATGCTCGATCGTTTAGTATTATACGTATGTAACTAGTTGTTGATTGAATTTGGGATTATTTGTTATTGATTGAATTGCTGCTACGTAATAACGTAATTTACTAGAGGCTCTTTTTGTTTACAGCATTTGTATTTTCTTGTGGCGAAGACTATATATTTGTATTTAGTTTTGCTCGTTCGAACTTTTTTATTTATTTATTGTTTAGATGGGTGGACGAGCTCACAGCCCACCTGGTGTTAAGTGGTTACCGGAGCCCATAGACATCCACAACGTAAATGCGCCACCCGCCTTGAGATATGAGTTCTAAGGTCTCAAGTATAGTGACAACGACTGCACCCTTCAAACCGAAACGCATTACTGCTTCACGGCAGAAATAGGCAGGGTGGTGGTACCCACCCGCGTGGACTCAGAAGAGGTCCTACCACCAGTAAAAATTACTAGTAGAAAAAGTAAATAATTCTTTGAATTTGAATTCTACATCAAAATTACCATTAGACCACCGTCTTTAAATTATCATTAAAACTCCAGTAGCTTGTATTATATTGCAATATATTATTAAGATAAAAATAATATTACCTATATAAAGCAATAAAAGATTTAGATTTAAACTCGAAATTGCTACCTGTAGTAAAAAGGTTTATAATGTGTTTTAGATAAAATATTATTATGGCTGTAATTCCTTTTATGTATTTTTTTATTGCCCTTTTATGATGGTAGTCTTTGATGGTTAGTGGTTACCGTCGCCCATGGACTTCAGCAATGCCAGGGGCAGAGCCAAGCCGTTGCCTGCTGTATGCTAATAATAATCTTAAATATGATGGACCAGTCTGAAGAGGGAAATACAAAAATAACAATGGCATTCTATACATTTTACCTGATATCTATTTGAGGTGTCTTGAAATAATAAAAAAAATGCTAAAACGATAGGGATAACATAGCGTAAGCTTAAAGGGAAGTGCACAAAAATCGTATTAAAAGCTTATAAAATTATCATTTTTTCGTGGTTTTGCACGTAAATCTAACGTCGTATAAAAATGAATAAATAAAATAATTGTTTCGTTTATGTCTTAATCTAAGACGCCTTTTAAGACAATCCGGTAAAAAATTGCCATTCGTCTTTTAAAATGAACTTCTGACGTGGAATGAACCTATTCCCACAAAAAGCAGGTAGCGGTAGGCAGCGGATTGGCTCTGCCCCTGGAATTACTGAAGTCCATGGGCGATGGTAACCGCTCACCGTCAGGTGGGCCGTATGCTGGTCTGCCTACAAGGGCAATAAAAAATAAAAGTGTAGTGGTTCCTCTTTGTTTGAAAATTGCGTTTTATAATTTAGTATAAAACAAGGCACGTTCTCTGTATAAAAATACAGTAGAATCGTCTGGTCTATTGCAATTTAATATCAAAATATGTAAATTAATACCACCTTACTATCTTAAACTAGTTCTGGAAAATGGTCACATTACTCTCGCTGGGACCGATCTAAACTACTCAAAACAAAATAGGGCCCACCATGTTTTATAAATGAATTTTACAGATTCTTTTTCTTTTTTCAGTTTTTATGATTAGGAATGAATAAAATAAGGTTTTCGAAAGTGTGTGAACATTAACAATAGTAAGTTTTGCCAATTTTATGGAATTTAGTCAAAATTTACAGTCTTTAGAAAAGTTGACAGAAATTATTGATTTAAGTAAGTTTCATTTTGATTTTTATTATTGACTAAATCAATGAGTTTGATTGTGCTTAGTAGCGAGTAGGTCCTCCACTGTACGGTATGCACTCTCTGAATCTAATCTGGGACACTTTCAATTAAGTGGGTGATGTTTTCCTTGGGTATACGCTCCCAGCACAATTTTAGGGCGTTTATGAGCTCTTGTCGATTATTCACATAACTGAAGTTCGATTTGAGGCTTCTTTTCAATCGGTCCCATAAATGTTCAATGGGGTTAAGATCGGGACTCATGGCCGGCCACAGTAAAACCATAATATTGGCTTCAGAGAGAGCTCTATGGGTTGTTCGCGCTGTATGTGGGCGAGTATTGTCTTGCATAAAGACGAAGTTTTCAACCACTCTTTGTGAAAATGCGCTGACATGGGACCGAACTATTCGATCGACATACCGGGAGGCAGTTATGGAGCCTTCTTCCAGAATTACAGTTCAGTTTTACCGAGCAAGCTTATACCAGCCCACACCATAACTTTGGACCTACAAAACGATCCCTTTCACGTATGCAAGGTTCTGAAAAACGTTCTTCTTCTCTTCTCCATACGCGCACTCGACGATCATTGCTGAAAAACTTCACTTTACTTTCGTCCGTAAAGAGTACATTTCTCCAGTTTTCCATTGTTCACTCCGCATGCTCGCGAGCAAACGTGCTGTACGATGCGCTCTTGTCAATATTAGACGAATAACACGAGATCTGGAACGTTGTCCGTCTTTATGGAGCCGATTTCGAATGGTTTGATCACTAATTCGTGTGCCAGTCGATTGCCGCAGTCGATTTTGTAAGACGCGGGCGGGAATCGCACGCAATTTTTTTAGACAAAACTCGAGATTAACTTAGAGTGGGCCCTATTCTGTTTTGAGTAGTTTATTATCACAGGCAGATCTATTGCCGCCAATAAGCCGGGTATCTCGATAATGTATTAGTCTCCGCATCGGATAGCGTCGATTTGTATCACCATTCCTCATGACGAGAACCACGTGAAGTCAGAAAAATATTGTTTTCGGACCCAACCCACGAGACTGGCACCTCGTTTTCATAATATAAATATCATTGTTCCGATAGTTAACTTTGATGCGCGGTTGCATTTTCGACACGACGCGTATCGTTAGGGATTTCTCAATTTCGAACCATAACCACGGATGGCTTTCATAGACCGCGCCTCGGAAACAATATTTTTTAATTTTTTATAGGACTTTAATTGTAAATATTAATAACAGAAGACATTCAGACCAGCCGCAGAAATAATTACATAATCCAATAGGCAAACATTACTTAAATAAATACATTGTTAATTGTGCGCCTCGATCAAGTAACAATATTTATTTTATTTGGATCAGCTGTGTACGCGTATTTCTGTGAATAATCCAAAAAGAAATGTATTGCAACATTTTCATGCTAGATCTATATATATTAATACGTGAAGCAAAAACTTTGTATCCCTTTTTACGAAAATTACGTGGACGGAGGACTATGAAATTTTCTACACTTATAGAGAATATAGAGAAGAAGTGCACAATGCTAATATTGTTTTAAATAATGCATAAAAGATACATTAAATCAATAAAGAAAACATTACACACACTACATACAATGTATTTGACGCACACACGCATGCATAGGTACTATTTATTGTCAAAATTGACGTCTGTGGTCAAATTGAGAATAGATTAAATATTGTTTGTCTTTATTGATATTTTTTTATAGTGTAGCCTTGGCGAAATTTGTGATTATAGAAGTATAAAATACAATCATAATAGTATACAAACTTACAATTCCAATTAATTATAGTCGAATGTCGACTACTGCGGGACCTCTAGTATTAATAAAACCACGAGTTTATAATCTTATGAATATGTATTACTTTTGACGGGAGCACGGGATATAAGCTTGAGAAAATTATGTTGTTATCGTTTTAAATAAAAAACTAATTCAACTAAGTCGTCCCTGTTCCGCTAAAAGAGAAAAATTATACAAAAAGATAGGTTCCACCGAGATTTGAACTCGGATCGCTGGATTCAAAGTCCAGAGTGCTAACCATTACACCATGGAACCACTGGTGAATTCATTGAAATTCACGGTCGTGCTCATTACATTAAAAAAAAAAAACACTGCTAATTTTACTAGCACTATGTATCGTTTAAGTATATATATTTAAGATTTCATTTTAGTACAAGAAGCTCTTATAAATTCGTTCAGTGTGTATACAAACATTAATAAATAAACAAAATATATACTATGTATGTATGTTATGTAGGAGTCTTCATTTTAATTTGTTTTTTGTACTCTTCGAAATCTCCTGTTTTTTTCTTCTTTTTAGGGGAGGCTGCTGGACCATATTTCATTTTGAAATAATCAAAATATTATTCCTATTTGATGCCTATTGTTATTGAGAACATAAAAAAAAATTACAGTATTCAATGTTTCATAACTACATATTAAAATTAGTAACCAAACTATTTTGTTTTCAGGAACCGGTCACAATACAATCCAAGTTGTTGCACTGGCAGAAGGTTGACCCTTCGGATCACCTGTACACACCAGACAAGGAGGCTTGCGCAGTGTAAATCAAGAAAGAGAAAAAGAGAAAAAATCAATAGAGAGAAAAAGAGAAAAAATCAATAAAGAGATTTTACTCGCTAGGACCTCTACGTGTGACGCTTTGCAAGCACGAAGTCTTGAGCAAGCCCAAATTTTACCATTCGAATTTCAAAATTTACTATTTCGTGGTCATTCAATTATGGAACCTTTAATTTTTAGAGACACGCTTCGAGCAGGTCACCTGCATATATGCGGCTTAATGCTCAACACCTCGATTTATTAATAATACGTGCATATTACGCACTTGTATCGGCGACTTAATTTTTTTTTTCTGTATTATCTATAAGTATATTATCAATGGTGTTTTTGATTACGTAAATCACATTTTACGATTTAATTTTATAAAATTGTTTTCCATATCTGGACAAGAAAGGGGTTTGTTTAAAAATTCAGACACAATGATTGGCACAGCCATGACTTAATATAGGTTACTTAATACATTATACTATTTTGGTCCTGTTGAAATTAAATTTCACCTTAATAATTTTATTAGTATTAACAACACTTTAAAAACGTTTTTGTGGTATTGTAATGTACTTAATCTATTTTTGTTCATTTTGTTTAACATTCCAGGCATTGAAAATGAATAAATTTTGTTTTATTTAAATGTAATGTTCTATATGTCCAATGTATTAATCTTTAAAAAAATGTGTGTGACGGTTGTACAAACCATTGAATGTACATTTATATTATTTAAAATATACCATCTAGTAATATTAGTTAAGTATATGTAGTTAAGTAGGTATTTTTGTGATTTTTTTGTGATCATTTTAAATTTTATTTATTGAAATATATCAATACATGTTTGACATAAAAAACACAAGCTTATTAGAATTAATAAAATTGCGTGTTAGTTAAATGTTGTTTTTATTTGTTTATCCCATTCATTGAATTATACAAGTAAGCTCGTTTGTCGAGTGGCTAAAAAACTATGCTAACTAAAAAAAGCCAGACTTCTATAATAAGGAAAATATAAGTTTATTTTTTATTTTTATTGCTGGATGGATGGACGAGCTCACAGCCCACCTGGTGTTAAATGGTTACTGGAGCCCATAGACATCTACAACGTAAATGCGCCACCCATCTTGAGATATAAGTTCTAAGGTCTCAGTATAGTTACAACGGCTGCCCCACTCTTCAAACCGAAACGCATTACTGCTTCACGGCAGAAATAGGCAGGGTGGTGGTACCTACCCGTGCGGACTCACAAGAGGTCCTACCACCAGTAATTACGCAAATTATAATTTTGCGGGTTTAATTTTTATTACACGATGTTATTCCTTCACTGTGGAAGTCAATCGTGAACATTTGTTGAGTACGTATTTAATTAGAAAAATTGATACCCGCCTGAGATTCGAACACCGGTGCATCGCTCAACGCGAATGCACCGGACGTCTTATCGCTTAGGCCACCACGACGACTTCAAAGTAGAGGTAGAGTGAACAAAATTATATGCATATTCTAAGAATTTTCCTAGTTTGGCAATGGTGTTATAATGAATAAACACACAAATCTTACAAAAATTAAAAAACTTAATTTATCTGATGCTGCTAAGTTTACTGTAAAGTTTATTTCGTAGTACCTTAACAATAAAATAATATATGAACATACTTAACTTAAACAATTTTTATGGTTAAATCTCGGGATTTTTATTGTCATTATATTATGTTAGATGTTTTAAATACTTTATAAGTAGTATTAACCATGTTTACGAATCACGCGAAAACTGACGAAAATAGTAATAGTCATACATATTTTGAAAATATTTATTTTAGAAAATTACATTACAACTATATTCTAAAAAACAGCTTATAGATAAAATCGTAAACTGTTAAATAATAAAATACAAGATATTACAATCTCGTTTATGTATTTATAACTAATTTATTTTGAAGTATCGATTTAACTAATATTTTTTTATCGATTTCCGGATGAGTGCCATCCGTTGTCTGTGCGCTTCTGTAACTGCTGCTCTCTTGTATGGCCGCAGTTCATCGTTGCCAAAACCTGGTATCCACATGTTCCATTGACGTTCTGAAAATCCAAAATGATAATTTTTTTCTTATGTTCTTATATTGACAATCCAGCTATTACAAAATTATCTAATCACTGTCTTTCTAATAGTAGAAAAGAAAATTGAAGCTAAACGCATCAGTGTAATTTCACTTGTATTGCATAAGGAGTCTTTGCTAGGTTTCAAATACAAGGAAAGGTATAAATGAAACTGCAAAGATTTGAAAATGGAGATGAAACTGTTTTCCATTTTCAAAAGAATAACGATAATTGCTAAAATAACAATGATTTGCAACTGCATATCTTATGGTAGGTAGATAGTGAATCAATATTGTGGTTTACTATAGTATAGTTCTCAAATACCATGTCTTGGTACTTTTATATAATTATTTTATTTAATATCTTACATTTTGTCTGGTAAATTTACAGCTAATTACTAGAGGATAATTATAAAACTATTATTCCACAAATTATGTAATGATGTTGTTAATGTACCTATTCACCTATACACCTACAATGATTTTTATAAATGAAATGTCCAAGATTTGGAACATAATGTAAACTTGTCCGCTCATTTTAGCGAATCAACTTCAGGGATAAAAACAGTAATGTTTACTTAAAATTCTTTTGAAAATGTCATGTATATTGACTGATAAGAAATTTCATCAGATTTGCTCATAAAATATTCTAAAAAAAAAGGAATTCACCTTTGCTATTAACTTGGCACACACAACATGGTTAACTTGCAGTGGTTAACAGTATATTAATTATATTTTCATGATTGTTTAATAAACCATAAACAACATAACTGATATTAGTTTGTTAATGTAAAACCAGTAAAATTAAAATTTAATTTTGTGTTGTGGCATTATATGTAATATTAATAAAAATATAATTTACCTAAATGTAGCTGCACATCTCTCAGTTCTACATTCGGTGCATGCCTGTGCTTAGCAAGAGCGCAAGCTGAATTCAGTGTAGTGTCGATGAAGTCATCTGCAAGCTGCAGTAACATTTCCTCTACTTCTTCATCGAGCTGCACTGTTGGGTCCACTTCTCTAACTAATTCTTGAAGACGAGGACGGCTCAGAAGCTGTATATAAAAAAATCAACAATATAGATTTTCAAATTGTAGTCATTATTGTCATCATCAGCCCACAGACATTCATCGCTGGACATTATTCTACCCAAAGGTAAGTTACACAATGACTGGTCCTTCACAGCCCACATCCAGCAAATTAAATTTTAATATCTAAAGATACATTAAGGAGACCACATTAAGGATAAGATTTCTAGCAAACATAATTTAAAAAATTGTCGAATTAAAGACAGGTTATAAAAATCTTCTGAAACAAGTTCTATACTCAAATTTTATGCTTCTGGTAACAAGATTTAATTTACTATAATGTTAAGTAACAATTATATTGTTTTGCACTAATTACTCTATTAAATTTAACATATTTTATAAAGCTTTAGGATTTGTGGATACTATTACGTTGTTGAGTTTGCGTGGATAGTAAGGTTTGAAAAAATATATGTTAATATACCACGAAGTCTTAAAACGTTTTCAACCTACCTGAGATGACTGGTCACCAGCTCCGCCTTGGCCAACTTTTGCTACTTGTGACTGGGTCCCCATAGGGCTGTGTTGAGAAGGAGAACCTTGAATAGAAGTGTTTTGAAGTTGAGGACTTTGCATGGGATTATTAACGTATTGTATAGCGCCTTGACCAACAGTCCCTATTGTAGGCATATTTGCTGCTTGTGCTAGAGAATTATTGGACATTTATACTTTTAACACAACAAACGAGAAAACGTCACGTATAAAAACGATAATCTTTAAACATTTCGAAATCTCTGAGATGAGTGTGTCAATTCGACTTTATTTATTTTCACTTTATTTTTCATTTATGATCGTCTCAATACTTCAATTTCATTCTTATTTGACAATATTACCTATGTCATTTGTTAACATTTTTTCGACTGGCAAAGAAACTATACCCCTTACAGCATATTATTTTGTTACAGGATGCAGGTTTTATTAAAGGTGGAATTTATTTTTCTAAATGCTTAGATTTATTTAATGATTATCAGAGCCTAGCTAGACAGATTAAAAAGTCAGTGCCGCCATCCGCCTTGAGACATGAAATCCGTGTTTCAATTGTATTGTATAAACGACTTTCCCAACTTTCAAACTGAAACGCATGATTGCTTAACGACAACAATAAGTCGAATAGCGCGAGTGACTAATACTAATAATAAAAACTAGAAATGAATAAGTCGAGATGTCGGGAGATTAAATAACCTAGAGACTGTTTACTGAGAATTCAATAAAATAAAATTAAAAGAGCTTTGTGTGCGTGGATTCCTGGGTTTTTCCAAAAAGGCCACTGAAGTCTCAGTAAATAACTCTCATTTTAGTGAGACTTTATTACATTCCATCTCATCTCGTATCATTTAATTTGATCCCGATTAATAACAGCCTTAAATAAGTCAACTTCGTCCTATTCCGTTATCCCATATCATTTCTCACAGAACACGTATATTTAAATTAATTGGAGATTTTATAAAATCGATACTGGCAACAACGGTAAACGGGAGCGGCACTGAAAATTTCGGGAATTAACGAAGTGACACAACATTAGTATTTAAAAATGTATTTATTGCTTTTCGAAGTATTCTCCGCGAAATTTGACACATTTTTCCATACGATGGAACCAATCATTGAAGCAACCATTCCATTCGGAAGTTGGGGTCTCCAAAATGGCCGTTTTGTAGGCGTCCACAGCTTCTTCAGGTGATGAAAATCTCTGTCCACGCAATTTATTCTTTATTTTAGGGCAAGACGTATAGAAATCATTAGGGCTTAGGTCGGGGCTGTATGGCGGATGGTCTAATAATTCTATGTTTTCTTGCTCTAAAAACTCTTTTGTTCTGTGCGCGGTGTGAGAACTCGCATTGTCGTGATGGAGGATGATGCGGCGGGTGCAGTTCTCTTTACGGAGTTCAGAAACAACCTGTGGCAAACAAATGCTAGCATACCATTCTGCATTAACCGTTCTTTGTTCCTCAAGAGGAATAGTCGTAACATGGCCGGTTTTGGAGACAAACGTGGCCACCATTTTTTTTGCAACACTCCGTGAACGAACAATTTTTGTTGGCTTTAACTCATTTTCGAACACCCAAACTCGTGACTGGTTTTTTGTTTCGGGTTCGTACGCATATATCCAGGATTCGTCACCTGATACAATGCTGTATACAGCATTTCAGGATCCTGCGTGGAATCTTTCGAGAGTTTTGACGCACCAAGTAATGGCAGCCGCTTTTTGCTCTTCACAAAGCGAATGCGGTATTCATCGGGAAAACAACTTTTTTACACCTAATTGTTCATGCAAGATTATTTGTATTTCACTCATGCCAATGTCTAAAGTTGCCTGAATTTCGCGGTGTGTCACATGTCGATCTTCCTCAATCAGCTTACGCACAGCATCAACGTTTTCTTGGGTGACTGCAGTTTTTGGACGACCTTGACGGGGATCATCACTGAGCTTGACACGTCCACGTTGAAACTCAGCAAACCAGCGATAAATTGTGGTTTTGGATGGGGCTTCATCACCAAATGCAGAAATCATCCGGTCAACACNATGGGGCTTCATCACCAAATGCAGAAATCATCCGGTCAACACACTGTTTTTGTGTTAAACCACTTCGAAAGTCATAATAAATCATCGCTCTTGAATTTTCTCGAGTCAATTCCATTTTCTCAACGACTAAACAAGTTTGACAAAACCTCGTGACAAGACCGAGAATCTTTTTTTAAATAAATAAATGGTATTCGATTTTTAAAACTAAAGAGTTTTTAATTAAAAAGATTTTAATATGACAGGAACAGTGGAAATATTCCATTCCCGATACTTTTAGTGCAGCCCTCGTAGAAAGAAGCTTATTGTCATATTGAAAAAAAAGAACTACTAAGTACTTTTCTTTTGGCCAGGAGGAAATCTCCGGACTTCCGCCCTCCCCTGGGGATGGAGGGCGGGGCATGTCGGAGTCGAACTGACTAAAACCTCCTCTCGCTCAACATCCCGCGTCCGATCCTCGCATGAGACAGAACTCATGAAAAGTCAAAGGGGGAAAGTGAAGCGTTTAGTGCGGAGCACATCTCTCCCTTACCCTCCCCCTCGGGACGCCGGACTGGCGGTCGTCGGCGCCACGACCACCAGCCCTCCCGGTAGGCAGGCTATCCGGAGCCCGCCTAGATGGCGCCGGTTAGAATGGGTTATCCTACGGAATACCCCGCTGGGTCAGAACCAGCGTGGGTCGAAGATAGCCGGCCTTCCATCACCCGGATGCTCTTGCGTAAAACGCGTGCAGAGCAGCTTGCACGTCGTCTTCTTAGGCCCCCTTCGCCGGTCCCCAGACCGACATGTAAATGGGACTCGAAACACTTACAGGGCCAGGGCTTGGGCGAGATCCGCCTCCTGGCCCCCGCTCGACGGCGGCGGGCTTGTGCATCTCTCACGCGCCCCGCCGCCTCCTTCTGCGAGATGGTGCACTAGTAGAAAACGAGCATCGCCTTCCACGACTCGTCGTCGCCGAGCATCGATGCTACAACACTCGGCAACGATAAGTTTTTTCCTATTTTGCGACGAGGACACGGCGCCACCCCTCCCATGCGGGGCAGGCGACGAGCGTGTGCTCCGCCTTGTCAAAGTCACAACCACAATGGTGGCACTCTGCCATCGGCTCGGCTTCGATCCGGTGCAGGAACTCACCGAAGCAACCATGCCCAGTGAGCACCTGCGTGAGCCGGAAAGTGAGGCGTCCAACTACTAAGTGCTAGGTCAAGTTTTAAAATCCGATGTTTATTCTTTTTTTTTATTCGACCACTTCTATATATCAATCTGTCCTTCTCAGGGGGCCTTATTTTAGCAGCCATAGCAGCCAATCTCTTTTTACTGGGGACATATTTTCCTGGCGGTCTCACAGGAAATTTTCCCTTAAACAGATGACCATGTTGAAGTAAGCATCGAACTCTTTCTTGTGTAGTAAGTAGCTTTACATCATGAGAGTACAATTTTTTATTGTTATTAAATTGGTTTACAATATGGAGGGTAGAGGTAGGTCTGCCCTCTATAGTTTACAACAAAGTATACTCTACTGTTTCAGATCAACTTCATTTAATTCTGTTCCATTTAATTTTTCTGCTATATGCAATAAATGAAAATCCTCGTTTTTATTACATTAGAAAAACCAAAGGAGCTCACAGTTATTATTTATATTTTAAATTATAATTTAAATGATACTAGCAACGCAAAGCCGCCGTCGGCTGGAACAAATTTTGCCGGATCCGCTTCCGGTGCTTTTTTAGGCCTTTCAAGCACCAGTCACCGTCTTTGTACTCCAAGCGTTCAACGAGCGAACTAACCCACAGACACAGCCCACTCAGTTTCTCGCCGGATCTTCTCAGTGGGTCGTGATTCCTATCCTATCCGGAAGCACTACTCTTGCTAGGAAAATCAGATGAACATCTACATTCACTGGAGAAGTAAAATGAGAAAGCGTCTTCGTTGTATAAGCTTTGTATAGCATGTTGTTCGAAGTTTAACCATAATTTAAATTATACCATATGGACAATTGTCAAGAGAAAAAAGAAATGCAACAAATAATACAAAAATGTTTTTTAATATACAATAATGCGATTTATTAGTCAATTTCCTCTATTGATGCTGTTGCACCGAGCGCATTGCGTTCATCAAATTCAAGAAAAAAATTCGGGACGTCATTTTTTTTTAAATCGTCTATAAATATTGACAGGCTTTTTCTGATGTCCCAGTTACAGGCTCGAAGACGTCTGAAACAATATGATATATAATGAGAAAATAAAAATCAATAATTTCATACATCATCATTTCTATTTTTTATTTACTAGGATTTTGAAGTGTTTGACGCATTTGACAGTACTTTAAAAGAAAATAGTCTAGCAATAAATTTGAGATAGATCTATCAGAAATCATGACAAACGTAGCTGAATTGATAAATATTCCATTATTAAGGTTCTAGGAGTCGACCCACGTAGCGAAATTAGGCACAGAATAATACTTCGGTGGCATAACGGTGCTCAGAAATAAGGTACCTACAGAAAGCAAGGAGGGTAGTATTCTTTACTCAAAATAAATTTAATTATTAAGATTTAGAAATGATACAACAGTCAATAATACATACTCTTTGGCTGCCCACGCTTTAAGCTTAGTCAATCGACAAAATATGTTCACTAAATTGTCCACATCATCAGCTGTTGGATTAATGAGCATTAATGTATTGCCGTTCCTTATAGGATTCTAAAACAAAACACATTTTTTTAAAACTCGACAAAAAATTAACCTGTGGTCGGAAGCTGTATGGCAAAGTACAATGATTTGTTATTTTTATAAATTACTAAATCTCTTTTCTATTTAGGTTACATACAACCGTGAAAAACGAAAAACTTGGATTCAAAATTGATTTCCAAATGTACATGTAAGATAATCACGAAAGTGGGTCGATGGCGACGACTCACATCTTTTTTCGGCAATAGGATCCATGCAGGAGGGGGGTTGAGCTGACAGTATCTACTTAATAATGGGTGTCAGAACTCGTAAAGAAGTTCATACGTCCCATCTGACGGTCCCTCCCAAGTTCGCCTAGATGTAGCCACTACCAATTCATGCTCCTAGAGATACTCCGTTGAGTCAGAACCAGATTGGGTCATGTAGGCACAGAGGTGAGTCGGGTATAAGTGCCACGACACCCGGTGGACTACTCCGGGAAATCACTGGTGGTAGGACCTCTTGTGAGTCCGCACGGGTAGGTACCACCACCCCGCCTATTTCTGCCGTGAAGCAGTAATGCGTTTCGGCTTGAAGGGTGAGGCAGCCGTTGTAACTATACTGAGACCTTAGAACTCAGATATCTCAAGGTGGGTGGCGCATTTACATTGTAGATGTCTATGGGATCTGGTAACCACTCAACACCAGGTTGGCCGTGAGTTAGTCCATCATCTAAGTAATATAAAAAAATAATAGGCAATTTTTTTAAAACGTAAATCGGTTTACCTTAAAACTGTTTAGTTTGTGTTCATTCGCAGCTGTTGTCACAGTTAACATATCATTGGCGATGAGGTATTTAGTACCTTCTTTCTCCTTTTTACACATAAACACGAATGTTCGTCTGAATTGTAGAATTTTATCTTGTCCTGTTATTGATTTCTCTTTAAAAACACCATCCACAACTAGTACTAAAGTTTTTTCCTGAAATCAGTGTATTGCTACATTCGCCCCGTTGATCAAAATTCGACTGTAACTACTGACACTTCAAAGTATACATTCATCTTTTGTATGACATATTTTACCTTTTTTTTTGGTCATTGACAAAAAGAAAGGCATATCGACGATTGAAAGGCAATCATGACTAAGCGACAATGTGTGAACTTTACAGTAGACTAATTTAAAGTTGAAATACCTGTAAAAAAATTATATTTTAACGAATCTAGCTGTAGGATTGAAATGATTTTAATAGACCTAGAAATATATATTTTTTGCGCATCGAATATGGTTATTGCCTATCATTTATGTACAAAGCAGTTGTTGTCGCTTAGTCACGTTTGCCTTTCAAGCGTCGATGTGTACTTAAAAGCCTTTGCCTGCATATAACATGGACGTAATTTAATTGTGATCTAAATAATTAAAAGTTTTTACGAGTTAACCTCGCGTCTATTATTATTTCATTATTGTTTACGTTTCGAACAGTTGTTTCTTTGCACACATAAAGTAATAACAGTATCTTGAGGTCTGGCGGTTAGTTTGATTTGGGTTTCCATCTCATTAACGTGTTTAACTTAAAAGTTAATGTCTCTATTATTTTATTAATATCCAAAGATCTCATTGTATTGACGTTACGAGAGCTCTAAAGTCGTGTAGTGATTGCCACACCTTGAGTTACAGATAGTCTTTAAATTTGATAAGAGGAATCACATATTTACTTATTGTAATATACGGAGGAGAGTGCTTACTATCCACCTGGTGTTAAGTGGAGCCCGAGTGGATATCGGAGCCCATAGACATCCCAACATGGACGCCGCCACCCACCTTGAGACATGAGGTCGCAGTCTCAATTATATAGTTTAACTGTTATCCCAATTATCAAATAAGTATGCATTACTGTTTTGCAACAGAATTAGGCAGTTTGATGATACCTTCCTTTGCTGCCTTCTCACAAGACGATCAATAAAAATAGTTTTAATTTGTTATTCCATAAAAAAAAAAAAAAAACTGTTGACTTACATTATAAAGTAAAACATCAATCGAGAAAGTTGTCGGGTCGTGTATCGTTTCGGGCAGGCTTGTAAGGATCGCCAGTACAGCTTCACCGTTGTAGATCCTAGCGCCCGGCACACTGCAGGCTTGCATTGACACGTCCATAATGTTCCGCGAGTGGTTCATGTAATGTGGAAGATCTCTCTGTTCTCTTGCTGTAAAATACAATTGGAAAATTCAAATTCCTGGTTACATTTCAAAAGGTTGATGTTTCTTATTGAACTAAAGATTACATTAGAATATCTATAGCATAAAATTTTATATACTTAACAATAGTACAACATAAAAAAAAAACTATATTGAAACTATTTAACTATTGGTTTTATTTAAGTAATTTTAACTGCGAAGCCACGCTTCTCTAAATTATAAATGACGACTGTAAAAAGTTTCACTACAATCGAAAATACAACATGAGTTATATGGTGATTAAAAATAAACATGTTGAATAATGGCTAAAATGTTACTATTACCACCGCATATCATACTCAAATTTTCTGTGTTGTGAGCGAATACAAAGGGTTTGTTCTTTTTCCCGCCAAAAAGTTCAAACTATTTGTTATCACCCTTGCGCAACGGAAACTCTGCTATTATGCCTTATGGTAGGCAACGGCATCCACGTTGTAGTGCCTATAATCTCCAACAACCTAACAGAACCATAATTAGAACTTACAAGTAAAACAAGTGCTGATACTGAATTTCGCTTCAACGTCATAAAGATTCGCTAAATATTTGCGATTATGTCGGAACGGGTCGTCGTAGTATGAAAAGAATATGGCCAAGAACTCGTCAATAGCGTGGTTTGAGTGCAATGCGGCTGGCACTACGAAGTTCCTTATCGACGGTAAGTACGTTCGATGGTGATTTAATTTGACGCCGTCCTGAAAAGAAAAATATGCGCAAGCTAATTTATGATATTGACAGCAAATAATGTCACAAAGTTGCTTGTATTTTTCCGTGACAATTCCTAAAAGATGGTGTATCTCGTTTCTTCTCTACTATGGGCATGAGAAACACGCACACGAGACAAGACTACACAGCCTCCGAATACGAAATGACTTTAATAAGAATATCGACTTCAACCGGAAAACGAACCTTGAGCTGAGGCCAAAGTCAACAATGAAGCAAAAATAATAATAATAACGTACGGTTATTATTTTTTAATTGATAATTTTCTAGCATCACTGCTATTTTAAGTTCGATGGCACCGAAACTAAACTTAAAAAAAAGACAGTAAAAGGATATGTCTATAACAGTCTATACGACTTTAACATCTGAGAGAAAAAGATGGAGATAAGTCTAAAAGCTACTTGTACTACTTGCGAACTGTATTGCAGCGCATGCATATTTATTTCCTTCTTTTATTCTGACATTAAATCATGAAATCCAAACACAACCCTCGCCCAAGCTAAATAATAATTAATGAGTGGCTAACAGAGAGTCATAGTTTATAATTGTTTTAATGTTTTTTTTAATCTTAACTTGTTTGGGCCAGGGCAGAAACTGATTGGTTTGATAGCCAACTCCACTTACCAACTCCAATAATCTTGGGAACTTAAACAATATATCTTTTATGTAGGTCGAAGCGTCTAGTGTTTCACATAATGGATTCTCTTCCATCCATAATTTTTCTATTTTACTGCTAACTCTCGGTACTTGGTTCAATGATGGTATCTGAAATTGAGTTTATAATATAAACTTTCAAAGTTTCCGGTGACAATTACGTGTTTAAGAAACATTAAACACATATTCACGAACGGCCTCTTTTTATTAATTGCCTTGGTAGGTAGGCGAGCATACGGTCTACCTGATGGTGAGTGGTTACCGTCGCCTATGGACAAAAATTGTCTAATTAAAACAAAATATGTAAATTTGCATAACTACTACTGGTAGGATGTTTGTTAAGTCCCACCCCTCCCTTACTGCCTATATCTGTCGCGAAGCAGTCGTCTGGTCTGGTTTGAATGGTGGGAAAGCTGTTAAATAATACAATTATGATTTCGGCTTTTAAGTTCGTTGGCGGCATTCACGTCGTGCTGTATATGCTTGTCTCTTTTTAGTATTGCTTATTCGTTTCCATCTAGTTAAAAATCACACTATTTAATAAATATAATATCCAACCTACTCTATTGTGACTCAGATTGATGGATGTCAAATTTCCTTTCATGAAGAAGTTAAGAATTTCCATTGGAGCATTACTGAAAAAAATAACACATTTATTAGTTAATAACATTTTAAAAGTGTGGTTATACAGAGGAACTTCGATTCTGTGTTTGGTACCGTATGTACCATGGATAGTGCTCTGAGCAATGCACCCACCATCGGATCAGGGTTCATTAATACTTAGAACCACTGCATTCATCCACATTGCGTTACCAGAAATCTTGTTTGCCACATACCATGCGACTTTGTAATGAACTGCCTTCTACAGAGTTTTCTGAGTGATATGACATGTCTTTCTTCGAAAGAGCTTTGTGGAGAGTACTCAACAGTAGGCAGCAGCTTGGCATATCCGTTATTGGTGATATTGCTGCACGACAGTAACCCCTCACCTTCAGGTGGGTTGTATGCTCGTAGTGATAGTATAGATGGACAAATAATAATCATTATATATTCCAGTTGAAGAATAGAACAGTTGCAAAAGAATAAAAATGGAAGTTTGACGACATCCAAATTTTGAGGTACTATTGGATCCTGTAAATATTTAATATCAAATAGGCCGGGTGTTTGTTGCTGAACTTCCGGAACAAGTGCCGGTGTTCTAATCCCGCAGGCATGTATCAATGTTTCTAATAACATACGTACTTAAAAAAAAAAAAATTTGATTTCCACAATGAAGGAACAAAATCAAAATTATGATTTACATAGCAACTGGTGCGCCTTATGAGTCCGAAGAGTAAGGTAGCATCACCCTGCCTATTTCTGCTGTTAATCAGTAATATGTTTCGGTTTGAACAGTAGAGCAATTGAGTCGTCTATTATCAAAGGCGGCAATCTGTACATTTGGACAAATTTTTTTTATTGATATGTCAATACAGATTTATTTGAATATAATCGTCTCCTTCAAAGAATACGGTTCAAAACCTGCATTAAATAAAGGTTAATAGTTAACCTGTTATTTATCTAAGATGTCGTTCCGAAGAGTTTTGTGACTGCCAATGGAANAGCAATTGAGTCGTCTATTATCAAAGGCGGCAATCTGTACATTTGGACAAATTTTTTTTATTGATATGTCAATACAGATTTATTTGAATATAATCGTCTCCTTCAAAGAATACGGTTCAAAACCTGCATTAAATAAAGGTTAATAGTTAACCTGTTATTTATCTAAGATGTCGTTCCGAAGAGTTTTGTGACTGCCAATGGAATACTAAGTCAATAATTCGTTTTTCTGATTTACCAATCATTGTCCAAAAGTCAGATTGCCGCCTTTGATAATAGTCGACTCAATTGTTGTATATGAACTGACATTTATTCATGTCTGAAAGAAGGTGACGGCATGACATTGTAGATATCTATGGGCTCCAGTAACCACTCATCACCAGGTGGGCCATGAGCTTATCCAACCACCCAAATATAAAAAAAAAGACCAATCAATAAAAAAAAGAATTAAATCTCATCTGTTGATATGTAGCCAGTCATATTTTTTACTACTAATCATATTATGGTACATTATGAAAAATATAATTCAAGGACTGGCAGACAAACAGTTTTTCGTTATGTTTAAGCACTGTTTATTCCGAAACTATTTACTTGGGAACATTTTTTTTCATGGAATCAATTATTCTAATAGAAAACTATACAGAACTAAAGATAAATAAATAAAACTATCTACAGTTTTCTATAGCCATATACCTCTATACCCTCCTATATACCCTTTGTAGGACACCTCGTATTTAATAGATAACCTTGATTAATAATTGACCTTTTTTACCTTAAGTTGTTACAGCTTAAATTCAAAGATTTTGTATCTCTACCCATTCTCAGCATTAATATTTTGAAATGTGATAGCAGCGACAACTTGTAGAAATAAATTTTATTTTCTAAAAATTCTGAAATAAATAAACGATTCGGTTAAATTCCACAAATGAAAGAAAGAATAATTTTTAATTAATGTTCAACTGTTGGTAATAAGTTATATTAAATCTAAGGTTAGATTAAGTTACTTTACTAGTGATAGAGTGTATTAAAAGCCTGCATCTAAGTACTACTATTCTGCCTATTTCTGTTATGAAGTAGTCCTTGGTTAGTTTACTAAAATGTTATGGTTTGCCTCCTATAAAATACTTAAACCATAAGGAGAGTGGTATGTTCACATTATCTTATGTATGGGCTCCCATAATCATTCAACACCAGGTTAGCGGTGCCTTTATTCACCCATATACAGGCACAATAGGTTACCCATAGGCAGTAAAAATTATCGTAATTCAAATTTTACAAATTGAACATTTTTGTTTTTGGCTGTAATGTAATTTGAATGTTTGTATAGATATGTATCAGTTTTATTAATATCCAGTATTATTTAAAGATTCCCTATTTTAAGCAATTTTCTTATCCCCATGGTCTATGCAAGCATAGCACACCATATAGTTTATTATTCACTGCACTCAGATTAATGACATCTTTGTACATGACATCTGCAGTATGTAACTATTACTTATAACTATAGTAAGTAACTATTACCTTTATCTTCACAAAATGCAGACAAATCCAATTCACAGCTTCCTTTAAATCTGTTACTTACAACTTTGGTAACAATTTCATCAACTGTAGTATACTTTCCAAATAACTCTATGGAGCTTTTACAATTAAATAAAATTTCTATATTGGACATGCATTTTTGATATGGAAATAAAAAATTTAATTCAATAATTTTTGATATTAAATTAAGATTGCTCGAGTAGAATGATAATTTATCATTGTCCTCTTTAACAACATTAACAGGGATAAGAGCAAAGCCGAAATAATCACTAAATGCTGATATGAAACTATTCAAATTTTCTGGCCAATGGTTCACCTGAAAAATAAAAACTCCCTGTATTCATAACTAATTAATTTTAAATAAAGTTAATTAAAAAGAGTACGAATTTCTTAATAGACCTAAGAGTTAAAACTGGTGATAGTGTGATAAACTTACTAATATTTTATGAAACGAATGATCCCGAGCTTCATCTTCCAGAGTCAAACATGTTTCCAGATATTTTTTAAAATCTTTAGTAGTAATTGCTTCAATGTACAAAGGAAATCCTTTATACTTATCAAGTTTTTTTGGACTGTTCATACTTATTACTTAATGAGACTTTTTATTTTTCCTTGTAATTAATAAGTGCAGGCAAATATCGATACCCGAATTTCTATTTTATGACATGGTCCATTTTGTGTCGCTTTTTTAATTAAAATTTATTTTATTAACGTTATGTAGTCAAATAAAATTTGATTTGTTTTACATTTGTTTTGATTACTTTACGACTTTACCTCCTTTTTTCTTTGATACGTCATATTTTATGTCCTTTCGACAGGCAAACGTAACGCAGTCTATCGGCCAAATATCTAGTGTCAAAGGTTGAAGGCATGTCTGTCCTTTCAAAAATTAGTTGAATTAAATGGAGTTGAATGAATCGACATGAGACAGCTAGTTATATGTTGAATGGGAAGCAATGATTAATGATAGTATAATTGTGAAAATATTCTGAGATTCATTGGTCTTTTTGGAAGAACCAGAAAAACAACGCAATTTTTCATCCAATTTCATGTCGATTCATATTATTTCATCCTAATTAATTAAAGTCTTACATTAATTAACTTCATCTCATTTTTCATTAACAGAATGTAAGAAGTATTGGAGTTAATAGTGTTCGCGCGACAGCGCGACGTTCATAAATGTTCGGCTCAACTCGGGTGCCGTCGCCCGTACGCACCCCGCACCTCTCATAACAGTGCGGTACATGACGGCACGCGGAGATACGCTCGTTCGATATTGAGTAAATTGTGCGCGCGCGCCTTTCGTTACTAAGTAAAAGGTTGAGTGCGAACCGGTGAAAAGGTGTATGTGCCACCCATCGCAGAGAAACACCACTACGACCGTGATAGTGCCAGCATCAGCCTCCAAGTAAGTCCCGTTTTCCTACCTACCCTTTCGTGTCCGCTTATTCTCCGCAGAGTTCATATGCTCCCTTTCAGCTCATCAGCTCACGTTTAAGGTGACGCTCACCTGCGTCACCAAATAGTATAGAAACTATTAACTCCAATACTTCTTACATTCGGCACAGTTTCATGGATCAGCCAGCGACAAACACCGGTCGCTATCTCCACTACAGAAGCCGAAATTGTGGCAGCCAGTGAAGCCGGCAGAGAGCTAATGTGGCTTGCTAGACTATTCCAGGCATTGACTACAATTGCGGACGTACCGGTTCTGCATGTGGACAATGAAGCTGCTGTTCGTCTTGCTCACAACCCCGAGTTTCACAAGAGAACGAAGCATATCCGGCTCAGACATTTCTACGTCAGAGAATTGGTAACTGAGGGTATCTGCAACGTTGTACGGATCGGAACGAAGGATCAAGTCGCAGACATCCTCACCAAACCACTACCTCGTACGTCATATGCAGTTCTACGCCAGGCGCTAGGACTGTGTACTATGTAAATGTTTAGGGAAAGTATTGGAGTTAATAGTATAGAATAGAATTATAGTATAGAAATTCCTTATCAAAAGAAAACATATACATAGAAAGCAGTGACAAGAGGTGTAATAAGAATAAGTGAAGAAATGTCTGTCACTTCGTGAAGTAAAATAAAATAAGAAAACTGTGATTTCGATAATAAATTCTAAAACATCGACGTAACTAATACTAATACATAAAAGTGTGTTAGTGTATTATTTCGTAACTGCCTGCACTCTGCGATTTAAAGATTGGGCTCTGTGCTACCAAGAATTTTAAATTATATCAAGAAGAAAATATAAGACTTGAGTTGAAGGTCTCGTTGCTAGGCCATTAATTCTTAAAAAAAGTAATAAATACTTAAATTTTTAGTTATCTATGATTACGGCTACCCTTATCTATGGTTATATAGAACAGATAACGCTGTATGGGCTTAGGTCCCCTTGCCTTTCCTAATAAGTAAAAACTGTACAAAAAAAAACTTGGTTATCCTATAACATCCGGAATCCGGGATCCCTTTCATATTTAAGACATTTAGATAATCCTTTTAGAATTTTATGTTTAGTTATTTATGTGTGTAAACCTACACACGTAATTTTCAATTTATAAATTTATGTTTACGGAACATTCAGAGTTGATTTAAACCGCATTTTAGTGTTCAGCAGTGTTTTGTAGCAGTTAAACAAGCTGTGCAACTAAATTAAAAAATCAGTGTTTAAATAATCAAAGAACAATGGTTATGAGTATGATAAGAATTTGTAATATTCTTTTATTTGTGCTGATTCTAATGTTTATGTTTAAGTTAGTGGTAATAGAAAGTACAGTTTCAAAGAAACTACAAATCGGCATTAAGAAAAGACCTGAGGACTGTTCCATGAAGAGCCGCAAAGGAGATCTTTTGCATATGCACTACACTGTAATAATTATTTTTTAAATCTTAAAACCCTGTTAATATTAGGCACGTTTGCTAAGAAAAACTACTTATATTATATTAGAAAGATCATATTCCCAACTATTTTGATATTAGCAACATAAAGTTGATTGAAGGTCTGTGACAAATTGCAATATGAATATTTTTTATTATTTTTTCAGGGCACTTTAGATGACGGTACAGAATTTGATAGTTCAATTCCTCGAGGTAACCCCTTAACCTTCAAACTTGGTTCTGGTCAAGTTATTAAGGGTTGGGATCAAGGGCTACTTGGAATGTGCGAAGGAGAACAACGTAAACTTGTCATTCCACCAGAATTGGCTTATGGTTCAGCTGGAGCACCACCAAAGATACCAAAGTCTGCTACTCTTACTTTTCACGTAGAATTGGTGAAAATTGAAAGAAAGGATGAATTATAATTGTTTCAACTGACAAATACATATACATGTTTTGAACTGAATATTATTTGCAATTTATATTTTATATTAACTACTATCCCTAAAAGTAACTATTGCAGAGTCATTCGAAGCTCATATAAACAAACTTCAAGAATCTAACTGATACATAAAACAATTTTCAAATGAAAATAAGGAGTTTATTATAGGGTTTTATTATTAATTTCCATAAAAATACACTTGTAAAAATATATATTTCCTTTCTGAGTTTTCTGAAAAAAATAATTGAATTTACATTTTATCAAATGGTTGGAAACGCAAATGGCTTCTTGTTACTCGAACATGCCAGTTTTTAATATCGCCAGTCTTCATTATGGTTAAGGTAAAATAATATGGATTATACACAATGTCCTGTAATGCCTACCTAAAGTAACATACAGAATTTCGTGGTACTGGTACTGGAAAAACAAAAGTCAGCAAGTCTAGCTCTGGAAAGTTTGTGTTAGCTAAAAATACAAAAAAAGTATTTCCAGGACTAATAACATTAAATTGCTCTATGTATTGGGCAGTGCGTTTTTTTCTAGACTACCCGCCGACGGGTTGCCTACCTGTGATCATCGATTGCCAACTTCATGGCGAGTTTGATCTTGAACCCAAATGTAAATTATATAAAGACAGCATTTGAATGCTGCTTTGCTTATCGTGGCCGATTCGGCCCGCGTAGCAGTCACCTGATAAACTCTGGGCTATGGAATGCTACCAGTTCTAACACTTGCAGGAGACAAAGCGCAGGTAACAGAACTCGTTGAACTCGACAAAAGTCGATTTAACATTTAACCCAAAATTATCAGTCCGTTATTTCTCGCCGGATATACGATCAGACAGGCTTAATGTGCAATCGGTAGCAGGATAAACGTGCTAAGTTCTATATTCAGATTCTCTGGAATGATTTATTAAACAGCTTTTGTTAACAATGGCGGAAATTCCCGTAAATTCAGACTTACCATAATCATTATTATGGTAAAAACGGAGCCTAATTGATCGGGAATCCCTCGATTGCTAAATATGCGTATGAAAGTTTTATTAAAAGCGTACATCACTCCAAATTATCGCTACTGATTAATTTATAATATTATATTTTTTATATATGGACATTAACCAGAATAAATGTAGGCTGTAGGGTATTTTCTTTGCCTATCCTGATGGACAACGGGAAGAAAAAATGTCAAATCTGTCAATGTGTCAAAACAAAACAGTTTTCAATTTTCATTGAATGTGGTTTACTGTACTTAACTGTACTATCCGGCGATTCTAAAGATATTAGCAATCGTCGTCCTCCACCCTTGTTTACATTGTACTGTAAAACTGGATGTTCTTATTTGTACAAATGTCTAATTAAATAGAACTGGTGTATCCTCTTGAACAATGGTGAAAATACTTTTTCTTCATCCAGACTTGGGTATCGGCGGTGCTGAGCGACTTGTAGTCGATGCCGCATTGGCGTTTCAGAAGAAAGGTCACGAAGTTGCTTTCTACACAAACCATCACGATCCAACGCATTGCTTTGCCGAAACACGTGATGGTACATTTCGTGTTACGGTTGTTGGCGATTGGATACCCCGGTCCATTTTGGGAAGATTTAAGGCTGCATGTGCCTACATACGTATGATTTATGCAGCTGCTTATATGGCATGGTACATTATTCCTAATGAAGAACCGCTCTTAATCTTCTGTGATTCTATTTCATTATGTATTCCATTCTTAAAGATGGCTCGAGGACCGTTCAGGGTCATATTTTACTGCCACCATCCAGATAAATTACTTACCTCAGAGGGCGGAATTCTTAAAAAGTTATACAGGGCGCCACTTAATTGGCTCGAGGAATTGACAACAGCTAAAGCAGATAAAGTCTTAGTCAACAGTAAATACACAGCTAGGGTATACCAAGATGCTTTCCAAAGTATTAAAGACATTCCTGACATTTGCTATCCATCTATTAACACTCAATATTTTAAGTCTACAATGCCAAAACCACTCAAAGAAATTATTCCAGTGGGTACTGACAAGTTTATATTCCTATCAATTAATAGGTATGAGAGAAAAAAGAATCTACAATTAGCTCTCGGGGCTTTTAAACATTTGAAACATATTTTAAGTGAATCAGATTGGAATAGAGTTCATTTAATAATGGCTGGTGGTTTTGATCCAATCAATTTAGAAAACATGGAACATTACATTGAATTGACTGATTTGGCAGCAGAATTAGAAATTGATGATAAGATAACATTCATGAAATCTCCTAAAGATGATGAGAAAATTTCTTTATTGTACAACTGCAAGGCATTGGTGTACACTCCATCAAATGAGCACTTTGGCATAGTTCCATTAGAAGCAATGTATTTCTGTAAACCAGTGATTGCTGTGAATAGTGGGGGTCCAACTGAAACAGTTGTTAATGAAGTAACAGGTTTTTTGTGTGAACCAAACAGCAAATCATTTGCTACAGCAATGAGTAAATTAGTTTTGAATCCTGATCTAATAGAGAGGTTTGGTCAAGCAGGACTTAAAAGATTTGAAACAAATTTTTCCTTTGATGCATTTACAGAACAGTTAGATGGTATTTTAACAAGAGAAAGACAAATAGTCTCTGAGGCTCGAGGCGTTGAATATGAAGAGAGGAAGAAAAAATAACAAAATGCAAACACTCCAACAATGTTTGACATTGTATGAGAGTGTTTGAACAAAGTAAATTGTTGTATAGTTCAAATGAGTATGAATGTGAACTCAATATCTCAGCAGAATTCATCATCTGGATTTTTGCTATTTAAAGTACTTTTATTTGAAATTATGTATCTTCATTAAAATTATAATAAAGATTGATTACTAAGTAGCTTAAAATATGTTTATAATTTAATGGGATTGTTTATAAGTGAACCTCTTTTAAGTATGCTGTAATATAAATTGCTAATATCTAATCCATGAATAGCATTTTGGTGAGCTTTGCAATAAGTAATCTTAGTTAGCAACTATATTAAAATAAAGAAAATTATTGAAAAATAAATAAATTTGTTTTATTTCCTTTAGTATTAAACATTATAAAAGTCATCTTTTGTGTGATATTTTTATAAATTTTTTAGGTGGTATATGAATTTTAAAGGCGTTGCCATTATTGTAATGTTTTATATCTGTATCTTGTCTGCTACAAAAAAAGTTTTCCTGTAAATTATAAATGTTTTGAACTGGCAATGGCTTAATAGGAAAGAAGCCCAGTGTACTCATTTAAGTGATGCGATTGCGTTAGGTAGATACGATTTTTCTTTAGTAAATATGTTACTAACTACTGTTCACAATTCACTTCTACGAATAAGGAATAATATCTTCTAATAAAAATGTAACCTTGATTATCTGTAATTAGTGATAGTATTGTGAAACTGACAGGATAGATACAAGCACCTTGCTCTGTCTGTATTGATACCGTCATTATGGTCATCTTGGTAAGGGTAGACAACAATCCACTTTCATCGAGGCCAAGCTGGAATATTCTACTACTATAAAGGTACAAAACAACTTGCATTCTTAGCTAAAGTCAAATAAATATCGTCGCTTTGATTACGAACCCAGTGCAGGCATGTAATATCATGTCACATCAGGGAGGACGAAATGAAACAGTACGTTTTTAGTATTAATTTTATTTTAACAAATAGAAGTATAAAACTCATTTAAGAATGTGTGCTGTTTTGTTTTGTTTGTTCTTATAAGTTAAGTGTATCATTGCCTCCATTGGTTTACATGACAGTCTTTAATCCATACCAAATTTGAGATGAAATAAAATAACACAACGAATGGTATAAATAATTTATTTTAATACAAAATCATTCGATTAATGTTTTTTCAATAGTGTCATACACTTTATCTACGTTTTCAGACGGCATTGCATCTATTATTTCAAATTGTAAATCGTATTGTTGGTCTAAGCCCATGTAGCTGTCACTCATAATATATACAGTATATATTATACGCCCTGGAAGAAAAAACAAGTATTGTATTGAAAATACAAAAAAATACAGTATACTTATTAACATTGATGTGAAAACTAGGGACCGTGCGAACTCTGTGGGGCCGCCCGCCAAGAGACTACTGGGAGAAGCAATTTTTTTTTAAATTTCTTTTTATTTTGCAGCTCCATACACTACTCCCTATTTAAGGATCGCTACGTTGGGAATAGATTTTATGTTTGAGTTGACGTTTTTGATGCAGTTAAGCAGGTTATCATTATTTGGTGATATTTCCCCCATTTAATTAAGTTTCATCTTAATTGAATTTAAGTCTCAAATTAATCAACATCATCTCATTTAACTTAATGTCATTATTCATATGTATGGTATTTAATAATTGAAGAATTTTATAAATTCAACACTGGCAACATTGCCGTGGGAAGAAAGAAATTGCCAATATTGCCATACCCAAAAAACAAGAAGAGGAACAACTTTACCAATCCGAGAAGGCGTATAGAATGTAAGCTGTGCCGTTCCTCTGGGCGGGACCCGTTTCAAGGCGTGCAGCTCTCCGTCGTCCACGGTGCCGAGCGTCACGAACCAGCCCTCGTTCTTGCCGCGCGGGAACCTCGGACACAGCACGTTGTTCGGATTGCCGCCTCTACGTTGCATATCCAATAGCAGGGTATATTCCTAATGACAAACGTGATAAGGTACATTATAGCTTGATCTAGCGCGTCGTAAGCCAGTTAGGATTGAATTCTTTTTGGGCGATGCAATGACTTCTACTATATAACTATACTGAGACCTTAGAACTTATATCTCGAGGTGGGTAGCGCATTTACGTTGTAGATGTCTATGGGCTCCAGTAACCACTTAACATTAGGTGGGCTGTGAGCTCCTCCATACATCTAAGCAATAAAAAAAAAAACTTCAAACCGGGTATGCTTCGTTGTAATCCGCGTGCTTAGTGCGAGTTTTATAACTTCTTGATCGCGTAAAAGTTAACTCATTACTGGTGGTGGGACCTCTTGTGAGTCCGCGCGGGTAGGTACCACCACCCTGCCTATTTCTGCCGTAAAGCAGTAATGCGTTTCGGTTTGAAGGGTGGGCCAGCCGTTGTAACTATACTGAGATTTTAGAACTTATATCTCAAGGTGGGTGGCGCATTTACGTTGTAGATGTCTATGGGCGCCAGTAACCACTTAACACCAGGTGGGCTATGAGGTCGTCCACCCATGTAAGCAATAAAAAAAATCAAATTTGAATATCCCACAGCTCCCCTACGTGAAACGTAACGCGATCGAGAAGTTAAAAAACTCGCACTAAGCACACACACAGTGCGAGCTTAGTTCCGCTTCTGTTGAGTAGCCGGATACATAAATACATGTAAGAAATGTATTTATGTATAAATCATTGCGTGCCCATTAGGTGAGTCATAGGGTTAACGAACAAACCTGGTCAGCATGCAAAGGCATCCACTGATCCCGGGCGGGAGGTTGCGTGATCCGTTTGTCTTGTTCATGATCAGCGTCGAACCATAGACCGCGGACGTGCAACTTTATGTCCGTAGTTGGTAGGTCGCATATCGCCTGTGAAAATTCACAAATACGAATTAAACTGTGGCGGTAGTCATCACAAAACACAAGATATTTGACAGATGCCTGAATCTCGCTTACGACATTTTCAAGATAAAGCGCATATATGCAAGTTCTGAACAACATTTGGACCGTTGGTCTACCGAGCAATATCACCCGCTTGGTGGAAGATCTTCTCTTTGTCGTATATCTTCCCAAAAAACTTATTAATACGCTTTTATTAGCTTCAGACATATGTATGTTTGTAACGGAATCTTTGAACATGATTTTGACCCCCTTCAAAACGTCGGATTAACTCGAAATTATTAAGAACCGATAGAGATATAGAGATTTATTAAGAACCGATGACAATTCAATATTAAGAAAAAAATAGAAATTCAATTATAAAATGAAAAATACATAATAGTTTAAAAAACTAACAAAATACGCTTTTATAGAAAATCCAACTAAAAATAGAAAATAAATTTGAATTAAAAACAGTGTAAGAAAAAATGATTTTATTGTAAAAAAAAGCGTGGGTAGCTTTTCAGGATATTATTAGAATAACCCTCCTACTTATATCTGTTCATAAAATATTTATAACTACTGATACCATGCACCCCACGCTTTTTTTTCTATAAAAGCGTATTTTGTTAGTTTTTTTAAACTATTATTTATTTTTGATTTGCTTGATGCTCAGAACTACAAAAAAAATCAAGTATCAAAATTGTTAAGTAAGAGACGGACAGGACCGCTACCGGCATCCAGGCTATACATTTTTCATAGCGCTACCATCGGATCCCCTATGTCAAAAATAAAAAATAAAATAATAATCAAAAAACTCACCCTGTGTATCTGTTGAATCTGATTCTCTTCGAACTCTTTCCTCAAATACTTAGCAAGTAACTCGTAGTTTCGCATGCAGCTAACTTTCAGACCGTTAAGCATCATGCAAGGCTTCTTGCTGTCTTTAGTTAAGTGTAAGAACAAGTATAGATGTTGGGATTCAATGTGCGGGAGGGTGGTCAAGGGAGAGTCTGACGGCCATCGCGCCTGTATAATGCACTGCATCAACGTCTGGCATGACAGACAAACGGACAGCCAGCCGTTCTCTGCTGATGTATCTATCATTGCCTGTGAAAAACAATATATTATTATATATTTATATTTGAAAAAAAAACATATGTTTATTTTTTTGATATTTATTTTATTGCCCTTGTAGGCAGAAGAGCATACGGCTCACCTGATGGTGAGTGGTTACCGTCGCCCATGGACTTAAGCAATGCCAGGGGCAGAGCCAAGCTGCTGCCTACTGCTTAATACTCTCCACAGCCTTTCTGTTTTATTATAATTATTATTGCTTTTGTTTTATTCCGAGATTGTAGTTATTGTTTTTATTTAATTCTGGTATACTATATGAAATGTTAATGAATGTCATATGGATGCAAAATCTGAATTAAATGAAATAAATAAATAAAATAAATTGTAGATAAATCTCATACAAAATGAGATTTAATTACCAAATACATTTATGATCGATTTTAATGTAACTAATTCATCGAAGCCATTTCTTATGGACATCACACAGCGAAACGTTTAAGTTTAAGAATGTTGAATGAGAAACAAACTTGGACTTGTACCTACATATCGACGTTTGAAAGGCAAACGTGACTAAGCGACAATGCGTGAACTTTACAGTAGACTAATTTAAAGTTGAAATACCTGAAAAAAAAAATTCTATTTTAACGAATCTAGCTTAGGATTGAAATGATTTTAATAGACCTAGAAATAAATTTTTTTTGCGCATAGAATATGGTTATTGCCTATCATTTATGTATAAAGCAGTTATTGTCGCTTAGTCACGTTTGCCTTTCAAGTGTCGATATGTATTTGAGGATTCAACAAGACAAACGGACCTGTAAAATCCTGATCGTTTGATCTAAAACAGATTTCGTGTCCGTCAAATAATCCGAGTTCGGTAAAGTTATCCGGGTCATGTGCGCCTGTAGCAACAAGAACGCTTTTACGTTTGATGAGTCCAGGGACAGAGCGTCGACCGGCAAACGACATTGCTGCGATAGCTCCCTGCGAATATACACATACATTCCTTTCTTGCCTTTTTTTTAATCTTCTTAATATATATATAAATCATGTGTCACGTTGTCTGTCCGCGATGGACTCCTAAACTACTTAACTGATTTTAAATTAAATTTGCACACCGTGTGCAGTTTGATCCAACTTGAAAGATAGGATGGTTTTTATTTCGATTAATGGTCGCAATATTTATTGATTAACAATAAAATTATTTCTTATGTTGATTTTTGTTATTAATTGTAAGTTTCATAAGTCTAAAACAGATGGCGCCTCAAATCAGTTTTTACAGACAATGGCGCTGTGTTAAAAATACCAACGTTTCACATAACCTACAATTTAATGGCATAAACACCACGTGTTGCCGAGGCTAAAGTATAAGTGAAATTTATTTCGTAGTAAATGCAATACAGTGAAATTCAATTGTTCTTACTTTGTCAATTTTTGGAATTAGCATAGCCGGCCGCGTGTTATTTAGAAACAAAAACCTTAGCCACAGCAACGTGTGGCCGGGTCTGCTAGTTGCTTATATGGGTGGACGAGCTCACTGTCCACCTGGTGTTAAGTAGTTACTAGAGCACATAGACATCTACAATGTAAATGCGTCACCCACCTTGAGATCTAAGTTCTAAAGTCTCAATTGTTACAACGGCTGCCCCACCCTTCAAGCCGAAACGCATTACTGCTTCACGGCAGAAATAGGCAGGGTGGTGGTACCTACCCGCGCGGACTCACAAGAGGTCCTACTATCAGTAATTGTTTGAACAGTAATTGTCTTCTCTTATCGTATATCTAGTGAGAAGTTTCATTACGTTAGAGTGACAAATATGTATCACAAGCTTTAGTATTTTCTTCGGTTCTCGTGAATCATAGACATCTAAGAATTAAAATTTAAACATAATTAATTATCTAACACCCGGGGGAACCTTCATATTGTGAAGACGAAAACACTACTACTCTAAGTTAAACAAACCGCCACATACTATTATTAGGCCGTTCTGTGTGAAACGAAATGTTAAGTCTACATAAAAAAAGAAAAAAAAACGGTAGTTAGCACATTAAACAAAACCAAACATTTTAGTCGTTCATGACCATACAAACTGTAATGCATTTAGAATATCGGCCATAATATAAGGACAATGAAAAACGCAAGATTAAGCCGTAAAAGTAGTGTTAATTGTATCAGGCTTTTGTTATGACTTAAACGGGGCAATGAACTCACAGCCCTCCTGGTGTTCATAGATTATCAGAGACCATAGACATCATGCACCCTGTTGAAGCTATGTATTTTAGCGTACGTACCCGTTAAGCAGATCCTCGTTATGTCGAACTGGTAGAGTAGCGTATTCTTCAGAATCCGACAATACCCTTAACAGATCATCCACGTTCATATTACCGTTTAGATTCTTTGAGAAATGAGCCATTGTCCTGTGCGACAGATAGTAATACGACGCGATGCGACCCATCCACGTGCTGTGGACTGTACGTTCATCCTAAAATCATACTCATAATCATGCCTTCAACTATATGCGCATGTCAAAGTAGGTAATGTATATATGTATGTATTGCAGAACAAGTAGTTTGGTTCTTGTTTGCATAGATGTGGGCTCACGGCACATCTGGTCCACAGAGAGATGCAATGAGATCGAGAGGTGCTATTCTAGGCCTATGTTCTATATTTTAATATAATGCAAAGAGAGAAAAAACATATGATATTCTTATCAGTTCTAAGGTCTCAGTATAGTTACAACGGCTGCCCCGCTTTTCAAGCCGAACGCATTACTGCTTCACGGCTGAAATAGGCAGGGTGGTGGTACCTACCCGCGCGGACTCACAAGAGGTCCTACCACCAGTCAATCTCCGATGCGATGGAGCGTGTTGCGCCATACTTGGCACGGGTAGACCAATACTACTTACCTCTTCGATTTCCACACAAAAGGCCGCGGACAAAGCGTCCAGTGAAGTTTGGACGAGACCCGACAGGAAATGGTTCACGTCCTGCGGCTCCAAACTCTCCAAATTGTAATACGAGGGATTTTTTAGTAGCCTCCGGAAGAAATACGTCCACGTCAAATAATCTAGGATGTCTTGTTTCGTTTGCACCGTGCCTGGTGAAATGAGTGGTGTCAAGTTAAAAAACAAATTCACAACGCTTAATGTCGCCTCTGACTTATAATTTAATCGTCGTTAATTTGGCCCCAAATGACGTCACAGATAATGAAATTACGTTCAGGCGAATTTGGTAGTTTCAGAAACAATTTTGAACAAGAAGACCTGCTGTTCAATCGCATATTAACAGTTTGTAGAAATTTTTAGTTATAAGTTCGTCGGACATCTTATTTAAAAAAAAAAACATTATTTTGCCATGTAGTTCTTTCAGCCGTAGGCAGCAGCTTGGTTCTGCTTTTGGCGTGTCTTATCTCTGTGACTACTTACAACAACAAATAAAAATCTTATGCTCAACTACCCTCAATAGTTACAAAATTTCGTTTTAATGACCCGTCTTTCAACATCCACTGAGTTTCTAGACGGATCTTCACAGTGGGTCGCGATCTCGATCCGGTGGTAGACTTTGCGAAGGACTGCCCTTGTTAGGCAGAATTAGCACACTTTATTAGGTCCAGCCCCGTGAGCTTACCTACCAGGCATTTATGTAATTGTAATAGTCCCTTAGCTTACTAGCGGAAAAAAACACGGTTAGAGAGTCTTACCGGCGACGATCTCAGCGTTCAAATGATCCGCTAACACTTCGAGCAGACTCGACTCGACCGGGAACGGTTCGTATAAGAACTTCTTATAGAAATTCTTCTTCTGGTCGTGAACTAGTACGACGGCGACGCCTTCGTTGTCGAACTGCGAAGTGAACGATTAAATATAATCGAATAATCATCTGCGAAATTATATACGTGAACAACTTAGAAACATCACCTGTCACTAATGTAACATAAAATCGATTCGTATTACGATTTAATTCGATTTCGATCGATTTAATTCCATATGTCTGGGTTAGGATTGCCACCCGTACTTTATAATAAAGTATTGTACGTTATTCCAGGTAATTGTACTCTGTACTTTATGTGAACACTAAAAAAAAGGACATGAAAATATTTTATTCGAAATGATTTGGTTTCTTTGGGATTTTGAAAAGTTTAGTCATATGTATTTTTTCGTTAAGCGAAATACATCAATGTCGCCACTCGCTAACGCCACATCACTTAAGCACTCGATTTTTAACCAATATTTCTGAAGACAACATAACCTCAAATGTCAACAATGTCACTGTCATTAATTGTCACAATATCTTGTTTAATTTGTTCGATTGTAATAAAAAAGATGTATAATATAAACATAATAATAAATTAATTGTACATTATTTCCCTACATATAATAACCAATGTATTTATCTGCAAAAAAAAATATGGTCACCCTAGTCCGTGTGCACACGTACCTGCGGCCGCCCCGCCCGGCCCATCATCTGCAGCACGTCGGTGATCGGCATGTCGACGTAACGCTTCTGTTTTCCGTCGTAGTACTCTGTGCCCTTGATGACGACCAAATGCGCGGGAAAGTTCACGCCCCAGGCGAGCGTGGCAGTGCAAATCAAAACCTACGGCGTTTTAGTAGATGTCAATTTTGTTTGAACAGTTAACTTGCTGAAACGGCCGGACTGTAGTAGTAAAATAATACTTATATAGTCGTCTTGACCTAAAGGATAAGATGCCTGGTGTATTCTTATCCAATCCCGCAGGCAATAACTCATGTTCACAAATAACTTATAGCATTGGGTAATAAAAATCAAAACAATTGCAACACAGCGAAGAAGCTTTACATGATTTAAGTACCAAATAAAATCATATTTAATTTTGTATTCTATTTTACCTGTATCTTTTGATTAATGAAAAGCTCTTCAACAGTATTTCGATCCCTTTCGTGCAAGCCGGCGTGGTGTATACCGATACCGAAGGCTAAGGTGAGTTTCAGGTTAGACTCTCGAATGTTCGATAGGATTTGTTCCATTTCGGACTCTTGCATATGGAGCCATTGTTTGGGGTTCTCTTCGGCTGCCAGATACGCGATTAAGTCGAGTGCGGTTAATCTGTAATTTAATTTATTCATTCGATTTAAGTTTAGTAGTTTAGGCATGGGAGATACGGCGACAATTATTATTGATGGACAATTAACACCATAAAATGGAATAGAGCGCAGGGTGTGAGAAGTAGAGATCGTCTGGGTGCCCGGTGGCAGGACGAGATTGAAATTCAACTAAAAAATAGAAAATAAATTTTAATAAATTTGAATTAAAAATAGTGTAAGAAAAACATGATATTACTGTAAAAAAGCGTGGGGTGCTTTTTTTTATTATTTTTTATTTATAACTTCTTATACTGGAATGTATAAAGGCGGACTTAATGCCATAGGCATTCTCTAACAGTCTATCTTAGGGGAGTGCAGAGATGAAGCTTGGTAGGTGTAGTGTGAAGGTGATATTACTTAAACATATGTGTATATATAACATATATAATATTTATAGATACAAATACTCGTACTTAAATAAATACATATACATAAATATATAGATATACATAAATATATACATATCATAAACATATACATATAAAAACATATATAAACAAATATTATCAATTAGATGACTCTGCTAACTCTCTGAGAAACAGTTCTCGAACCTTCGTTTTAAACGCTTCACGTGTAGTGGCCGACCTTATTTTGAGTGGGAGCGCATTCCATAGAAGAATAGACTGAATAGTGAATGAAGAATGTAAAAAGTCAGAACTATGTGGAGGACAGCGAAGAAGAAGGTTGTGAGATGAACGAAGATTTCGGCTGTGGTCAGACCCTAAGTATTGAAAGGAAGTAGTTAAATAAGCAGGTGGATTTGGGGAGTGCAACAAAGAGTAAAGAGTACTGAGAGCACGCAAGCTACGGCGTTGACGAATGGGGAGCCATTTGAGTTGGAAGCGATAAGAAGATACGTGATCGTATTTCCGAAGATTATAAATAAATCGAATGCAGTTATTGAGAGTTTTCAGGTTATTAACAAAATAACCCTTCTATTCATGTTCATAAAATTCATAAATCTGTTCATAAAATATTTATAATTACTGATACCATGCACCCCACGCTTCTTTTCTTACACTATTGTTAATTCAAATTTATTAAAATTTATTTTCTATTTTTTAGTTGGATTTTCTATAAAATCGTATTTTTTTAGTTTTTTTAAACTATTATTTATTTATTCAATTTAGACATACATATGCACGCATTTATGCCCGCACGTACGTACGCACGCACGCACGCACGCACGTACGTACGCACGTTCGCTAGCTCAACTGAGTGATGTGATATTAACCTTGTCTGGCGTCGACTGGACACGAACACGAGTGCGGGCGCGGCCGGCGAATGCGTGCGTATAGCTTGGAACGTCGGCTTGTTCATGGTCATCATTCGCGGGCAGTAATGCCGACCCGGGTGCCCCGATATGTGCACCTATGAACATAGGAAAATTGATTTCTAAAAAGAAATTGAAACTTGTTTTTTTTTCCGTAATTTAAATGATATTTCAAGATATATCAACATTTCTATACCTTAGTTTGTAAACGTGCTCATCGAAAAATGTACGAATATATTATTACCATAGCATGCTCTTTGTTTTAATCCATCATTAATGTCGCTATCCACTGCGCGGAGGAATACGACGCACGCTCTTTGTTTATCTCACGTTGTGTGTTTTCAAATAAAGCCCTATGGTTTTTGTGTTTGGATTATACCACACGTAGACTTAAATGATTATACCTAATTAAGCATGACCGATTTCATTGGATTGTCTTTCAGATTAGATTAGATTAGATTCCATTAGTCCATCTGACTATAAATATTCTTTCCGTATTGACTGATTAAAAAAAAAGCAATTTACAATATCTTTATACATAACTAGCTGTAACCGTCCGCTTCGCTGGGCATTTAAAATTAACATTATTTCTCACCCCCACAAAGATTCTCATCATTAATGCCCCCGCAACTGATGTAGGGAGTCCAACACTCATATAAATATTAGCCTATGCATTAAGTACATGTATTTTCAACATGGATACCAAGTTTCAAGTCAATCGGATGCATAGTTCAGTAGTTGGGTGATAGGACATTTTGTGAGTCCGCGCGGGTAGGTACCACCGCCCTGCCTATTTCGGCCGTGAAGCAGTAATGCGTTTTGGTTTGAAGGGTGGGGCAGCCGTTGTAACTATACTGAGACCTTAGAACTAATATTTCAAGGTGGGTGGCGCATTTACGTCGTAGATGTCTATGGGCTCCAGTAAAAAAATAACACCAGGTGGGCTGTGAGCTCGTCCAACCATGTAAGCAATAAAAACAAAAAAATTAAGCATGGCTGATTTCATTGGATTGTCTTTCAGATTTATTAGATTAGATTCCATTAGTCCATCTGACTATAAATATTCTTTCCGTATTGCCTGATTTAAAAAAAAAGCAATTCATAATATCTTTATACATAATTGAACATTTAATATTCACCTCCAAAGGAACTGGTCGCACTGATGGCCTAAAATTATACAAGCCCATCTCTCCGATATTGAGCCAGTTGGCGAGGTCCTTGGCGTTGGCCAGCGCAGTCGACAAGCCGATGATGCGTAATCGACGCGAAGTGTGGGACTGGATGAAATTCGTTCTGCAAATTCGAAGGTATCAAACAAATACAAACATAAACCACTGACACCACCACATGACACTTGCTGGATATTTTAGTTTAGCGACAAGTTCATTGAAGGGCAGACGTACTTGCGGGTCCGCTGGTGCTGGTTTTTTATTTTATTTATTTATTTTTTATTTCTTCGATTGGTGGACGAGCTCACGGCCCACCTGATGTTAAGTGGTTACTGTAACCCTTTGACACCATGTCAATGTTATTTGTTAATTGAAAGATTTATAGATTATTTTTTATGGGAAATTAGAAGGTCATCGAGCGAGTGATATTGCCCAGTAGACCGACGGACCGACTGTTATTATTCGAATCTTGTATGCTTGAAAACTTATTAAGATATCCTTAGCGAGATTCAGGCGTTTGTCAAATGTTTTTTATTCTATGATAGTGTGCCACTACCACTTTGAGAAACATATAAATAGACTATATGATTATTGAATTTTAGTTAACAGATTTGAGTAAAATATATATACGTTTTTTTTTCATTATATGTTGAATCGATTTGGATTTGTAATGTTGCGGTTTGAAGGGTGGGGTAGCCGTTGTAACTATACTGAGACCTTAGAACTTATATTTCAAAATGTGTAGCTGCATTTACGTTGTAGATGTCTATGAGCTCTGGTAACCACTTAACACCAGGTGGGCTGTGAGCTCGTCCACACACCTAAGAAAAAAGAAAAGAAAAAAGATAGATAAGAAGGTTAGATCGTCGGTTGTTTCTTAATGACCTGTTAATATCTGTCCGCAGTATCATTATGGTCACGGTGATCAGAAGATACCACATCGCTATATACGAAAATCATGCGTGTTGTTGGTACACGACGTGAGGCCGCGACCAAAACATTTCATTGATCTTCGAGCCTTTGAAATAATTCACTCGTCCTGTCCAACTGTTTAGTTATGGTTGCGTAGTTAGCGGGTATCATAGACGGCATTAAAAATATAAGATTACGTCTTTCAACATCCGACCGATCGTCGCCAAAAGGTGCAGCCACTGACCGCGACCTCACCTGGACACGATGACTTCAAGTACGGGTCCTCTGTCCTCTCCCAGGAGATGTATCTCGTCTATAACTATGAGGGCTACATCTTTCACGTAGTTCCTCGTCTGCCACGACCGACTGATCCCGTCCCATTTCTCCGGGGTAGTCACGATGACGTGCGAACTCTTTACAGCTCTGATGTCCGGGGTCACGTCGCCTTTTGACAGAAATCAATATTGAGGTCAAATTAAGTCAAGAACTTCTTTTGAATTTTTTCGGCGGAAACGCGAGGAGCAAAGTTGTGTGAATTATTTTATTTTGTCTATTTAGTGTTTCTTTAGGTTTAAATGTGTAATAACGGTGGTTTATTAACTGTTTAATATATGTGAAAGTGCAAAAATTCGAGAAAATGAAACAAAGTCGCTGAATGTAGCTAGGGTTCTTACAAAAAGTCCACTGAAAAAGTCTCAGTAAATAACCACCATTATACTGAGATTATATTTCATCTCATATCATTTAATTTCATGTCAGTTGATTAATGTAACCTAAATGTTTCAAATTAATCAACTTCATTTCATATCACTTCATATTAACATTTTTCATAAAAAAAATACAAAAGATTAGGCTGTATGGAATGATGCCTTTGCCGTTCCAGTTGAAAAAGTAGAATTACTGCTAAGTCAAGAAATATTGTCATTTCCTAAAGCACCAATAGCAATAAGTTTAAAATTTAACAAATAAAAGTCTCGTATGCGTATATGTAGAACAAACAGATGTACAAACTCTCAACTCAATATAAAACAATACCAGTTGTTATCCGCGCCTAGGAAAAGTGTTAGCGTAGTTACAAAGTGGGAATGAGATGTTTTTTTTTGGGGACAAAAAGAACTATTACTTTAGTAAAACACAATCCGTTGCTGGGTTTCGACGTGAATGAAGGACAAACAAACACACTTTCACATTTGTAACAATGAGCATGTATGTATTTAAGGATATTTGGTTTCATTAATATTTGATTTTATTAAAATTAATTTGCATCAAAATTTTATTTTTTTATTAATTACCTGTCAGCTCTACCACTTTCTTGTTCATTTTTTCTTCGAGACGCACCTTCCAATCTTTTATTCTTTCTTTGACGAGAGCCTTTAAGGGCGCTATATATACCACCTGTAAATATTTTCTTGATATATAATCTGTGACTATTCAAATTGTTTAGGAAGCAGATATTTAGTTAAATGTGAGTTCCATTCGTTTTTGCTATCATTTTATTTATTTTTTTTGATTGAAGGATTACTGGTGGCCTGGAGGCCTTTCCAGTTTCACCAAGCAGGTGGACGAGCAAGGGCTGAGGCAGGAGGGGTGGGATTTGCTACAACTGCCCGAGCGCCTCCGAAGGAGACCTAACAACTCAAGAGCAACTGCTAAGCGAATGAATCTACTACCGGATCGGAATCGTGACCCGCTGAGAAGATCCGGCGAGAAACTCAGCGGGCTGATGCATGGTTTAGGTTGCAAGTTGACCTCTATGTCGAGTTCGATGAGTAGGGTTACCGGAGTCCCTACTAAGTCTGCTCCTAGTGTTAGATCTGAAGGCGTCTAATGCAAAGGTTGTTGAATCTGATGGATCCGTAAGGACGTGTCTAGGGCATTGCATATATTGTTTTTTTTTTCTTATATTCTAACTTAACATATACACTAATAATTTCTATACTGATCTACCTAGATGCACCATCGCCGTGGGAGATGTATGTATGTAAGTTTCACTAGCCGTTTGGTTGTAAAACTTTAATTCAAATCAAAGACTTGATTATCCTAGCTTTGATAACGCATATCGGTTTCGAAGGTAGCATATTAATGCAGCGGAGACTTCAAGCACCTGCATTCACGTAATATGGGCTCCAAGATGGAGTTCATCAAAGTACCGAGACTTAGAAGAATGATAGTTAAGATACTTAGATATACCATATGTACTATAAAATAGTTACGATCCTTACTGGTGGTATGACGTCTTGGGATTTCGCACGGGTAGGTACCACCACCCTGCCTATTTCTGCCGTGAAGCAGTAATGCGTTTCGATTTGAAGGGTGGGGCAGCCGTTAACTATACTGAGACCTTAGAACTCATATCTCAAGGTGGGTGGCGGCCTTTACGATGTAGATATCTATGAGCTCCGGTAACCACATAACACCAGGTGGGCTGTGAGCTCGTCCATCTATCTAAGCAATAAAAAAAAAAGACGACAAGTGTGAAAAGGATGGAAGATATGAAATAGAAAGAGAAGACAGCGCTACCAAAAAGATGACAAGTGTGAAAAGGATGGAAGATATAAAATAGAAAGTTTTTTTTCCTACCTAAGCTTGTAGCCTTGAGAGGCTATATCAGCGGAACCTTAGCTAGTAGGTGAGTTTACGGGGCTCAAACTTGACGACGTTGCTAACACGAACCCTAGCAAGAGCCGTGCTTCGCAGAATCTACCACCGGATCGGAAACGCGACCCACGCGAGAAGATCCGGCGAGAAACTCAGTGGGCTGTGTCTGAGGGTAAAGAGAAGGTTACCTTACAGCCAGGGTACTCGTTGAACACCCTGAACATGGCTATCTCGGCCACGATGGTCTTGCCCGAGCCGGTCGGCGCGCCCAGCAGCACGTTGTTGTCGGTGTGGTATAAACAGTGAAATATTTGCGTCTGTATCGGATTGAAATGCGTGAAATTGTATAGCATCTCGTACGATGGGTTGTTCAAGGCCGTCACCGGTAACGGTTGCAGTTCCAACAGGTCTGTAGGGAATGTAAAACAACAAATATTACATGTACGTACGATTATTTATATATTAATGCGTGAAGCAAAAACGTGGTACCCGTTTTAATGAAAATTACGCGGATGGAGGAGTATGAAATTTCCCACACTTATAAAGAATATAGAAGAGTGCAGAATGCAATTTTTTTTTTTTATTATGCTTTAATAATACATTAAATCAATAGAAAAAAAATTACACACTATCATGTATTTGACACACACACACGCATGCATACTATTTGTTTACTGTCAAATGTTTCTTATTGCTTATAGTCTGTGGTCAAATAGATTAATTATTATGGTTCGTCTTTATTAATATTTGTCTAAAGTGCAGTCTTGGCGAAATCTGTGATTATAGAAGTATAATAATAGTCTTTGACAATAGAATCATAACAGTGCACAAACTTATAATAATAATTTCAATTAATTATTGTCGAATTACGACTACCGGGGGACCAGTAGTTTAAATAAAATGAGCAGTGTTTTTGTATCACTTCTTCGCTTTCTTGAGATGCTCCGTCCATTGGTTCATGTCATCCACATGCCACACTTTTATTGTCGTTTCGATTATGTTTACAGAACATTCAATACTTGTATTAATATGCTATTTGACGACAGATGGCGTTACTCGTACCGTCTTAAGAACATTATTTGATAAAATTCCGTTATGTGCCTTTAAAATACAATCTATTATTAAATAATAATGAAACAGTGATTTAGATTCCTTACCCGTGTGAGGTGGATGAGTTTCAGGTAGGATCAAATGTTGGAACGTCAGCGGCAGCACGCTCTCTGAGCCGACCCATCTGTGAGAACACTAATATTTAAAGTTTATATTTCTATAAAGAATATTCTGTTCTAGTATGTTATAGGGCTCTTATAGGGATATAAAACTCCTCTTCCTTCAGTCGTTGTGTCCTCGTGTCTGAGGGTCGTGACGTTCTAATGATGTTGTGCCACCTCGTCCTATCCTCGCCTACTCCGAGAGCATCGTATACAGTGGTTATTTAAATATAGAAAGATATAAAACTACATGGTTTCAAAATACGATGAGGCATTTAGTAGGTCGATTATCTTGAAATAAATCTAGGACATATTCAAAATAACATATTAGGTTGTGCTTAATATTTTTGGAATTGAGAAAATGATAGTCTTATAGACTCACTTTGAAACTCCCTGATGCACTTTTGAATTTTCAAACTCGTGAGAGTTTTATATATAGATCGATTAACAATATTCACAAGTTATCGTTTTAATGACTGGCACCGTGTTTTTTAGTTTTTTTTACCACAAATTTTGTTTCCTCTTTTCCGCACGTAGTTTTACTTCGATCGTCAACAGATGGCGTGGATAGTGAATTAAAGAAGCAATAAAGAAAGTGCCAAGAAATATATTCAATTAAGAAAATCAATATAAACCTATTAATATAAGTCGTTCAGTTCGTTTTGATAAGAAATACAATGTTAACCTTTCTGACGTCGCTCTGATGTAGTACTGTGGCGGCAAAGGTTCTTGAATTGGAATCGTTATAATCAACTCTTGTGGCTCGTTCATGATTACCTGAAGTTTTACGAACATTTTAATTGGGACATTCTTATTGTCCTCTGAAACTGCACAGCGATACGTCAGAACGTAGTGGAACCAGCTTCAAATAAGCGCTGTTGAATTAATTATCAGAGCGTTTCTTCTTCAGAAAAATGCATTTTATCAGTTTCTTTGAGTGACATGTCTAATGAGATTTCGTTTTCACAAATTAATTATTATCAAATTTATTTAAAATAAGACATTGTAGTTTGAAACTGATATTGAATTTAGACATGCGACCTTTTTGGTTCTGATGTATCAATGTAAAATTTTACTTAATAAACTGTGAGTGAAATGAAAGACATGCAGTAAAGCGAACTGTGATACAATAATAAAATAGAACTAACTAATGCCGTGCCATAGCCGAAACACTTAGAGAAAAATAGAAGTAAATACAACATTGATGAAATATGTTGTCAAAATTTGATGACAGTGAGTGGCAATGTTTTGTCTCATTCTTCCTAAGCGAATAGTATATCATTTTTAGTTTAGTCTCGGGTAAAATTTAAATAATTTTAAATGTTTCATTTTCCATAGTCACATATTCATTTAGGTTAACGTTTTTATAACTAATTTATAGTGAGATGAATTTAATTTTTTTAACGTCAAAAAAAAATCAAATGGATCACTCTTGAATTGTCAATAATTATGGAATATCGATCCTTAAGCAAATACTTCTTTATGTTAATTTATTTACGAAACAGAACAAATTTAGCATTTATGGTATACAAACACGCGTTTGGGTTGAGGGGATAGTTATTGTTCAAACAGTATGCACTCATTAGCAGATAATTTAAGCAGCAAAGCATAAAGGCTATTGACGCTAGGTCAATAATTCAGTTGAGACTACACGACTACACAGTTTAAAGCCGCGTCGATGAGGTAACACAATGCGAATGAGAAGATCTTCATTACCTGTTTCTTGGTGATGAGAAAATATTCGTGGTAATACATGATGTCGCTCTCGGGATCCTCGACCCATATCCAGAAGGCCTCAGGGGCTTTGCCGTGGTACTTGTCGTTCCATCTGTGACGATATAGGAAGCGTTCAAGTTTTTTTATTGCTTAGATGGGTGGACGAGCTCACAGCCCACCTGCGGTTAAGTGGTTACTGGAGCCCATAGACATCTACAACGTAAATGCGTCATCCACCTTGAGATGTAAGTTCCAAGGTCTCAGTATAGTTACAACGGCTGTAAGTACCACCACCCCGCTTATTTCTGCTGTGAAGCAGTAATGCGTTTCGGCTTGAAAGGTTGGGCACAGTTATTGTAACTATACTGAGAACTTCGAACTTATATTTCAAGATGGGTGTCGCATTTACGTTGTAAATGTCTATGGCTTCAGTAACCACTTAACACCAGGTGAGCTGTGAGCTCGTCCCTCCACATACGCTATAAAAAAAATCTGTGCTAGCGTATATCGTAGAGTAATCAGTGACTTACTTGAAGTTAGGCGTGATCGTGAGACGTATCCTTAACACTGTTCTCGTTATCGGATGCAGAGTCGCTTCCATTTCAAGTAACGGAAATTCGTCGGCGCATTTTTTCATGTGACGCGCGTTCTTTGGGTTCCTTATCAGATCTCCTTAAAAAGAAAATTAAAGTTGCCGTGGCCTAAAAGTTAAGACGCCCAGTGTTCTTTTGTTGTTACTTAGATGGGTAGATGGGCCGTGAGCTCATCTACCCATCTAAGGAACAGAAAAAAATGGTGTTAAGTGGTTACTGTAGCCCACGGACTTTTACACCGTAGATGTTGCTACCCATCTAAAGTAAGGTGAGATTCTAAAAAAGATTATATATAAGAAACATGTAACACCTAAGACAATACGTACTGAACAAGCAGACTTCCACGATGATTGAATAACATTGTGTTATCAATATCAAATAGCCAAAATTTATATGTTATTTTCCGCTTATTTGAAAAGAAACCTTTTAAAAGTGTCGTACAAGGTCAATTTTCTTTGACTGCTGATGCTGAAATCTACTTTTTTTAAAATATTTAATTGTTTTTATTACTGTTTCACGCTGGGGTTCGGGATAAATAAATGTTCCACCAAAGTACAACTTAAAACTGTATTTATCACTTAGAACACACACAGAACACTTTAAAATTCTCAATTCGCTTCTTCCGCTTCGCTTCAGGTGATCCGTTCGCCGTTTCGCTGCGAGTAGTTTCGATTACTGACTGACTGCGTGCCATCTCTGCAACGCTTTTATAGCCGATACCACATCCCTAGACTTATCGAGAATATTCCACACATTTCGAGTATTGTGTTTCCGCTATCTGACAATAGATGGCGTTGTCGTTCTCGACCGTTCTAGATGCTACTAGATCCTTCGATATTCGTTCGACTATTCGGCGATAGATGGTGTTACTCTTACCGGCGTAACATTACTGTACGTCTAGTAAGGAACGGGGATAAAAAGCGACCGAGAGGCCCACATACATACCTAACTCTTTCCAATCCATATCCCTGATCTGATCCGGCTTCAGCATCGGGTACTCGATGTACTTTAAGGTCTCGTTCGTGAAGCAGTTGAACTGTCTCATGTCGCTGTAGAAGTCCCACTGCTGAAGCTCGAGCATTTTAGCCATCTTCAGATACAAGCCGGCCATGTACGCGTTGTTCTTGCGTAGAGTTATTTCGAAGAGCGCCCGTATTATTCGGACGGCGTTCTGAAATTGTAACGAGATGTATTGTGGTAATATGCAAACACACACATACACACTCACGCACGCACACACACAGACCCGCGCAAAGTACATGCACACACGAACACTACGCAGCCACGCAACCAAACACACACACACACACACACAAGAAAATGTTACGCAAACCCACACCCACATACACACGCGTATATGTACACGCACGCACGCACGCACGCACGCACGCGCATGCACACACACACACACACACACACACACACACACACACACACACACACACACACACACACTCACAGATATTATATAAACGGTATACTTTTACGCTTATTTTTTTATTCATATTTTCAAACATCTTTCATTATTTACCTGACTGATATAATTGAGATCTGACTGCAAAGACGAACCATTGATGCGTCCTCTCGACAGATAAGTTTGCAACAGTATGTTGATCTTCCAATGTATGTCCTCCGGTGGATCTTCTATACGCAATTCGCAGTATTTATCTTTGAGTTGCCATAGTTCTGTCAACTCTTCTTTTCTAACCTTTCATCAAAACAAACATATGATTTCAGGAGTTGGTATAAAGTTAATTTGACTATGTTCTTCATATTCCAAGCAATAAGAATTTTTCATTGTTTGAATGAAATTAATATTTTTATGTAAGAGCATTTACACTTTTTCTATGATGAAATCAAAGGTATAGAAAATGCATTGCCTATCATTAAGCACTTACTTTAAGCTGTTGGAAGTCGGAGCACCTCGTCAGCATCTCCAGCACGTAGCCCTGCGTCATCGACTTCCGCACCATAGAGTTGAACACCTCCATGGTTTCACACGTTATGTAGTAGTGACTCGCCGTGCGACCGAGATCTGTTTATCGATAACAATGAGTTCTTGCATAGTGACGTATCTAATAAACATATACACAATAAAATTGATGCTATGGAATAATGAGTGTGGCGGAAAATGCTATGGAGAAATGAGGGTAGGTGAAAATGATATCGAGATATGAGGGTAGGTGAAAATGCTTTTGAGGAAAAGTTCGGGGGAAATACTGTGGAAGAAAGAGTGTAGGGGAAAATGCTATCGAGAAATGAGGGTAGGTGAAAATTATATCGAGATATAAGGGTGGGTGAAAATGCTTTTGAGGAAAGAGTTTGGGGGAACTTACTATGGAAGAATGAGTGTAGGGGAAAATGGTATGGAGAAACGAGGGTAGGTGAATATCGAGATATGAGGGTGGGCGAAAATGCTGTTGAGGAAAGAGTTCGGGGGAAAATACTATGGAAGAATGAGTGTGGGGGAAAATACTATGGAGAAATGCGGGTAGGTGAAAATAAAACTACCATATTATATTAGTATAGCGTCGAGAATATCTGAAAATGTTTTGATATGAAACTTGGGAGATCAAACTTCAATTCCTTCATGCGATTCTTCTCAGTCGTATGCACTCTTGGCAGAGTTGTCGTGGTCATCACTTCGGGTGGTGGTACGCTTCACCAGACGTCGCCATTCCTCGCGTGGGTACATCGGCCCTTCTTGTGCACTTCGTACGATACGCATATTTTATGAGGAACAACCAAACTGATTCTTTATCTATATTCTGTGTAAGCTGTTTTTTTTTTGTCAACTTTAACCCAATATTGGATAAGATTGAGAGGCAACATACCGGTGACGTTCAAATCCCCGGTGCGTTCGTTGAACCTGATCATGTGGGTCTTGTCTAGCTGCATGGCGGCCGCGGTGATTAGTTCGCGACGTTTAGTCTCCAGCATCGGTTCCTCTTGCACGTCGCTGTAGGTTAAACCGTAAACCTATGACAGATAATAGTATAAGTTAATATATATGTACACCGAAGATTCCGCGGGGTTTTCTTATTTTAAAAGACTTTCATGAACCAAGTCTGTAATATCTGCAATGATCTGTATCCTAACATCTTGATTATGTCATCAAAAATAGGCTTTTTAGTTGTTTTTAAACTAAGTACATTTAAATAAAGATAACATTCTTAACTATATAATATTGGTATTGGTTCTTTTTAAATTTTTATAATTTTTTTTGTAGTAATATAAGTACCTGGGGATTTATTCTCATTCTCACGAACAAGTACGTATAGCTCAACCATTCAACGGCCTCATCGATGTTTGTCACAGTGCCGAGCGCCACCTGCAACAAAACATTACAATAATAATAATAAACTCGGTTTATTTCCAATCCATAAAAATAACCGTTATTAAATGCGGTTTAGTATATACAAGGTGTATCATTTTTTTAAAGTTTTTTTTTAAATTATAGTTGTATAATTTCTTTATATATACATATGCATTATACATACAAGAACATTAAAATAACACATTACAAAAAAAGTTACATTCGATTACTACGAATCGAATAACTTCAAAAAATTATTAATTATAGACAAAAAAGTAGACCGAACCGATCGAGTTGTAAACTACACCGATGATCCCTATGTCGACTCATCACGATTATAGCAACTCGGGTGATAAAAACAGTGATGATGATGGTCAAGATTATGATAACGAAAAAAAAATTACAAATACCTGCTTCGCTTCAACTGAACCAAGACCTGGCAACAGCTCTAGTTTTGACTTAATAGAAGGAATATCTATTTTACCCCAAGATTAAATTATTACAATTATTAACCTATATTTTTTGTTGACGTTCTCATAAATATATAAATAAATACATATGTTGATTTTAATTGCATTATGACGCAGAGTAAATAATGTTTTTGCACGTGAGTGTACCATGCGCAAACTTACCCCCACTACGTCAACAAATGCTCAAGAAGTTTGCCGGCTATTATATCAGACATGAGACCGATCTTTTAATTGGAAGCATAGCCTTATACTACAACGACAAAATGAATGGCGACATTCGTTCTGTAAAGCTAGCCCATAGTTCCAGTGACGACAGCACAAGCCCAACAAGAAAGTGTCTGTATATTTAACAACCCACCTCAGCATTGAGGTTATCGGCCAGCAAATTGATGAAGTTGCTCTCGATGGGGAACTGGTTCGTCATCGACTTGAGGTAGTGGGTCAGTTTGTCGTGCGTAGTTATTATGATTCCGGTACCGGACGTGTCGAACTGCGGCCGGCCGGCCCTACCGAATATTTGTAGCACATCCAGTATGCTTAGGTCCACGAAAGTACCGTGGCTTTGATCGTAGATCTCCGTGCCCTGAAAATTTAAATATTCTATACATATATACATAGTTCCATCAACAGGACTTTTTGGCGGGAATGCCAGGAGTAACTATACTTGAGACCTTAAAACTTATATCTTAAGGTAGGTGGCGCATTTACGTCGTAGATGTCTATGGACTGCAGTAACCACTTAGCACCAGGGGAGCTGTGAGCAACGTCCACTCATCTATGCAATAAATAAAAAAGTGAAGTTGTGAGATTTGTTTTATTTTGTTATTATTATTAACTGTTATGTTTATTAACTGTTTAATTGCTGTGAAAGTGCACAAATGTGGGAAAAGGAAACAAAGCCGCTGAACGTAGTTTCTCGGGATCCTCCAAAAAGTCCACTGACAAAATCTCGGTGAATGACCACCATTTTACTGAGATTAAATTTCATCCCATATCATCTCATCTCATTTCATTTAATTTCATTCCAGTTGATTAACGTCTCAAATTAATCATCTTTATTTCATTTCATTCCATATTATCATTTTTCATAAAAATAAGAATATAAATTAAAATAAGTCATGACCTAAAAGTCTCAGTTACATACTATAGCTTTTACTGGGGGTAGGACGTCTTGTGAATCCGCACGGGTAGGTACCACTACCCTCCCTATTTTTGCCGTGAAGCAGTAATGCGTTACGGTCTGAAGGGCGGGCCAGCCGTTGTATTGTTACAACTGAGACCTTAGAACTCATGTCTCAAGGTGGGTGGCGGCATTTACGTTGTAGATGTCTATGGGATCCGGTAACCACTCAACACCAGGTGGGCCGTGAGCTCGTCTACCCATATTAGCAATAAAAATAACTAGGTAGCGCAGTAATTACCAGTGCTCCACGGGGGTAGTGGATTATGATTCTCATGAGAAAACAATGGACCTTTGAGTGGATGGTAACATCTGCATATTCAAAACATGTAACTATATATATCATTCTCTCGTGAAATCTCAACCTAAAGCCAGATGAAACGCATGATTTAAAAAAAAACGATCACAAACAAACAGTATAAGAAGCTTGTTTCTTAATGTGATTCCGATATTTAATTTTCGTGGTCAACGAAGACCGAGGGTAAAATTAATATAGCATACCCTTACTTTTTCTATTTAACTTACCCTTATAATAACAGCGTGCGCTGGTAAATTGACACCCCAAGCTAACGTCGACGTGCAAACTAATACCCTAATGTATCCTTCGGCGAAATATTTCTCCACCATGTTCCTATAAAAAACAAACATAGTTTAATGGCGAGTACACTGCGCGCTCCAAGCCAACACGCATTCTAATCAAAAGTTCTTTTTTTTATCTCGTTATTTTTGATTTATTTAGATTCGTGTTTACTAGGTGTCTAATTGAAAAGGAAAAGTATTTACTTTAACTCATGACGACGTTTTACATTTGTTACTTTGATTTATTATTATTATATTATTTTTGCAGGAATTGAATTTGTTATTTATATTATTATTATTTATTTTTATAATTTGTTGTTTTAAAAACACTAATGTGCTTTAGATCTTTAACGATTCAATAAATATATAAAATTGATTAAATAAATATATTATAATATAAGTATTATATTGTGATGAGTACCTAAATGTGTGTGCGTGGAATGTGGGATAAGCCCACAACAACATTTCTTATTTCTATTGGTTTTCTTGAATCGATTAATTGGAGATACAAAATGTTATTTAAATAATTATTTGTGATGATAAAGTTTACATTTTTTTTTTATTGCTTAGATGGATGGACGAGCTCACAGCCCACTGATGTTAAGTGGTTACTGGAGCCCATAGACATCTACAACGTAAATGCGCCACCCACCTTGAGATATAAGTTGTAAGGTCTCAGTATAGTTACAACGGCTGCCCCACCCTTCAAACCGAAACGCATTACTGCTTCACGGCAGAAATAGGCAGGGCCGTGGTACCTACCCGCGCGGACTCACAACAGGTCCTACCACCAGTAATATTACATTACACGTTCATGTGATTTTGATGTGTAAATGATCTGTTAAACTAAAATAAAATATCTACGTTATAAGACATACCTATCGCTTCTCAACATTCCGGCGTGATGACAAGCGAACCCGCTCGCAAACAACTCCCCCAGTTGTCTGTTAGGGCTGCTACTTATGGACTTCTTGGCTTTGAGGAAGCCCCCCGTGTCTTCCGGTTCGAAATGTTTCAAATGACCCTTCTTCTGTGCTAGTTCCTTCAATATCAGCGCAGTTTGGTGAGTTGCGTTCCTAGCGTGCACGAACACCATCACTTGATGTCCTTTTTGCACCATTTCGACGGCTTTATCGTAGCACACCTCATTCATTATTTGCATCTAAAATATTCGTAGAAAAAATTTACTAGATTTAGATTTAGATCACAGGAATCCTACGTTAATTGTAACCGATCTGGATATTCATTAGGGGAGTTACCGATTCCGACTAACTATATCTTATTTACATACTTTCGTTCTACTTAAGGGTTCCAGTAACCATACTAATCGATAATACGTCGTGTAATCATCTACAATAGAAAAAGTAGTAGATAATATACTGACCGCATGTACAAACGGTGCGAGCCATTTCTCAGGTAATATCGGTACTAACGATAGAGACTTCACAATAGCAACTAACGCCATTTAGTAGGGTTTTTTTTTTATTGCTTAGATAGGTGGACGAGCTCACAGCCCACCTGGTGTTAAGTGGTTACTGGAGCCCATAGACATCCACAACGTAAATGTGCCACCCACCTTGAGATACAAGTTCTAAGGTCTCAAGTATAGTTACAACGGCTGCCCCACCCTTCAAACCGAAACGCATTACTGCTTCACGGCAGAAATAGGCGGGCGGTGGTACCCACCCGCGCGGACTCACAAGAGGTCCTACCGCCAGTAAAGTGTAAAGGGTGTAGAGTTTGGAGGATAGAACTAAGGAGTACCATCTCAGTGTATTAAAAGTGTCCGCTGTAAGGGATCCAACTAAGGTGGCGCCATAGTAGCAGGTGGAAGGATTTTAAAAACAGCGCCCTATCATTTCATTTCTACTTCCTACACTAGCGCTATTTCGGTGAGTCTTCCAACAATAGCTTGCTGTTTCCAGGCGGACACTGTTTCCTCTTGTCCCCCGTACAAGATGGTACTCCTTACCTCTACCCTCTATAGTGTAGACGAACGTTCACAAGACTTTCGTTACATTACTCGAGATAGTCAGTGAGTACGGAACGATAGCTTAAGATCTGGAAAACTGTTAAAACATGTGTTGTTCGATAAATATCGAATACATTATTTTATTCCGATTCGCCAGCTCGTAGGATCATGTACCTTATAAGATGAAGAATAGGCAATGTCTAATATTATGTACCTTATAAGATCAAAGGCCATGTCGAATGTAAATAAATATACTTGATAAGGTTGTCGTACCTGACGCAGGTGAGCGCCTCCTCCACTGCCGACTTCTTTAACACCAATAAACTGTTGTTCCAATGGTACGGGCCTGAATCGAGAGTCGAAGAAGAATAATCCGATATACGGATTAACTCTCAAGAACCTGTTCGAATAACAACAAATCGTTTGTTTTAAAACTGGTGTTGCACATTTATTAAAAATAGGCTTAGGCTACAACACACGTAACTGAGTATTAAACGTAAATATACACTGATGGAACATTTCAGATCGGCTTAAATTTATATATGAAATAATCTAGGCGACCTCTATGCCGCAAAGGTGACTTTACTTTAAAATGGTCGTAAAAAAAGATTTTAATACTCAGAATTTCAAATAGACCTTTTATGTTCTATGCTTTTTTTTTTAACCATAAAATATTTTTAAATAAAAATAGTACATTAAATAATTAAAAATAAGCTAATTAAATAAGTTGGAAACTTGAGAACGTTTATTTCTAACAAAAGTGCGGGATAGGAAGTTTTTGGATAAATTCCCACTAATTGCCAAATAAATATTTTCACCTGGCAACATCGAGGTAATTAGGTAATGTAGCAGACAATCCAACGATTCGTATCATGTTTTGAGTTGATTCGACTTGTCGTAATGTCCTGGCGACTATGGCCTCCACTATCGGTCCCCTATCGCCGTGCAAGAGATGCACCTCGTCGATGATTATCAGCTTTACTATTGACGCCAGCTCTGTGTCAGCTGTCGAGAATATAAGAAGTTTTATATGGCAATCTACGAATATCCGAGAAATTAACATGTGTCTTCATTTTAAAGTTATTTCTTTATGTTTGTTTTTTTTTGTAAATGAGCTCACATTCCACCTGGTTTGAAGTGGTTACTAGAGCACATGGACAACGTAAATGTCGTCCGTCCTATTGAAACTGGTTGAAATGCCCCGCCCTTAAAAAAACCACGACTGCTTCAGCGTAGAAATAGGCAGTAGAAATAAGTGTACATTTCAAATTTATGCCTAGAGACATTGTTTAACCATTGTCACTAGTTCCTGTATTTAAACCATTCATCTCGTTCATCTAAAGTTCAACTTATGTATGTAAATTATTTGTTACTACACATTTAGAGGTAATTACTGGTGGTAGGTAATGCGTTTTGGTTTGAAGGGTGGCGCAGCCGTTGTAACTATACTGAGACCTTAGAACTCATATCTGAAGGTGGGTGGCGCATTTACGTTGTAGATGTCTACGGGCTCCAGTAACCATTTAACATCAAGGGACTGTGAGCTCGTCCACCCATCTAAGCAATAAAATAATAATAATAATAATATTGTAACTAATATTATGTTTATATTATCGAGTGAATAATCTTACTGGCTCCCTTCCGTGTGACGACGTCCCATTTCTCGGGCGTGGTGACGATCATCTGAGTCTGCTGTACTTCACTCTTGGTCAACTTCATGTCGCCCGTCAGTTCGCGGACCAGAATGCCTAGACCTTTGAGTCGTTTGCCAAAGCTAGCTGTCATTTCTGAAGCAAGAGCTTTCATAGGAGCTATGTAGATAATCTGTAATGTCATAAAACTATGCAGGACTTTTTGGCGGGAACGCGAGGAGCGAAGTTGTGTGAATTGTTTTATTTTTTCTATTTAGTGTTTCTTCAAATTTAAATGTATAATAACGGTGGTTTTTCACTGTTTAGTACCTGTGAAAGTGCACAAATGTGGGAAAATGAAACAAAGCTGCTGTACGTAACTTCTCGGGATCCCCCAAAAAGTCCACTGAAAAAATCTCAGTAAATGTCTACCATTTTACTGAGATTATATTTCATCCCATATCATCTCATCTCATTTCATATTATCATTTTTCATATAATAAAATATATATTTAAATAAAAGATTAGGCTGTATGGTATGACACCTTTGTGTTTTCAGTTGGAAAAATAAAACTACTACACACTACTACTAAAACTATGCAGTGATGCTTTTTATCTCTGTCTCGTTCTCCTTCTCTCTTTCTCTCTTTCTAGAAGCCGAAAATTCGTAAACTCACCTTGAATTTATTTTTCATAATAACACTGTTCTCGATGTGCTGTTTTATTTGATGGACAACCGTCAGTAGAGCGATGTTAGTTTTACCGGCGCCGGTCGGTGCGCATATAAGGAGATTCTCATTAGTATTGTAGGCCGTTTGGAACACCACCGACTGTATACGATTCAGCTCTTTTATGTTTTCAAATGCCATTTGACCAATCTGTAATAAAAACATAGTTAAGAGTTATTTGTCGGAACTGCACTCGCTGCCTTGTGGCATATCGCGGCTGCAACGGTCGAGACCAAAGTGAATGAGGGCACTAAACAATATACATGCATTGGCTGAATGATCGGGTCAAAGAAATTGGCTAACCTTCTCTATAATAAATAAAATGCTTAATTTATAGAATAGCTTTGGCGTTTCGTGTCTCGCCAAAACACATACGAGTTGTATAAAACATAGCGACCCGCCCTCGTTTCGCTTCGGAAACATTAAATTTTATTATTGATAGCTGAGTCCCGCGATGCTACCCGCGATTATTGTAGTACTGCGGGTGACGCCGCGGGACTAACCCAGTCTAAAAAAAGGAGCCTAAGTTACTCCTTATATCATCAGCTATCTATCAGTGAGTCTTGTCAAAATCGGTCCAGCTGTTCCAGAGATTCACCAGATACTACAGATATACATATATTTATACTACTTGTCTGTTCACAAATATATATCTAATGGCTTAACTAGTAGACTGTACACCTCTAAAACCAGCCAGAACCAGTAATGATGAAGGCGATACCTTCCCGTACGGGCATATAGTACGACCTATTTAAAAAAAAAAAGAATACCTCGTCCATGGCGGATATAGGAATTCGTTTGTTTCCGATCTCTAATGGAGGCGGATCGTTCTTCGGTATTGTGACTTCTTCATATTCTTTGAGATCTTTTCTCGCAGCGTTCTCGGGGAGTATTAGTTTTAAACCGGACACAAAACCTGGAAATACGAATAATCTTTATTTAAATGAACTTTTCTGTATAACAATGCGACAGTTGATTTATTAGCTTAGTTTTTTTTTCAAACGGTACGTACATCGCCCATGCACGAGCGCCGAAAGACGCCGCTGTTGCGAAAGTCGTTCGTGCATAGGCGCATACTAACATATAACAAATACCGAAAACAATAGGCATTTATGCTTCTAATGTCGAAATAGTATCGAAGTACTACTTTAGCAATACGGTCTCGACTTTGGAACTCATTCCACTACACCCTGTATAATGATAAGTTCTTGGGAAAAAGTGATCTTGATATGGTTTATGATCTCAATACGGATATCATCATCATCATTTCAGCCTATCGCCGTCCACTGCTGAACATAGGCCTCTCCAATAGATTTCCAGTGCGACCGGTCCATTCCCACTGCATCCAATACGGATAACTACCGCAATATTCCAATTCGCTCTAATGTATAAGTCAGTCACCCTTTTACGATAAGTTTTTGTTAAATAAGAATAGTTTAAAATTATTGAGCCCCTAAGAAAAACACAACAAATAAACAAAAGTGATGTCTTTCTGTTTAATACGATTAAATGCTCAAACTTTATTTTTGTGGCTGAAATTTTGAGTAACGCAAAGTCTATAAAAAAAGTAATTCACAAAACTTTTTTTGCGTTGTTTCAAAACCCTATTTTTTGCATACAGGAGGTACGTTTACCCGAAATTTACGGATATTTTAGGCCATTTCGTGGCTTGTCGTCCCGATGACTATGATATAAACTAGGAGCTTAGTTAATAGAGATGTAGACTGATCATAACCATATACTAGGACTGATCACCCTCCCCAATTTTGTAGTTCAGTGTTGCTTGCACACAAAATCAGTTCGAGGGGTGAAAGGCTATTGGGTTTAAGTGACATTTTTGAAACTTTACTGTAGAGCCCTTTAAAGTTTAAAATTTGGAAAAAAATATCCTAACAAAAAATCTTCTCCAGCTATTTCAATGGAGTAAAATTAATATTGAAGTTCAATTAAAAACATCGAACTGTTGAAGCTAATGTCAAAGAAAACATCTTTATTTACAAAGATAAATGTTGCGTATTGTCGCTTCAATCAAATAGTCTTTCAACGCCCAAGCTATTATTTAGGTTTACATATCCGAACCTGCCGCATTTTTTGCATCAATCGAAGAGTCGTACACGTTCGGGTATTGGACTTTAGTTTGAAAGTACGATATCCTCTGTAGAATCGGGTCGGTGTTGGACAATCGCGACGATGCCGAAAACGGTACAACCGGCTTTGATAGTTCTGCTATTCTGCAATTGACAATCGTTTAGTAAAATGTAATTCTTTAACTGTATAAAGATATGACAGTGTATTTCTTATTTATTTATTAATCATTTGTGTGTGTTTAGGCATATATAAAACAATTTCGTGAGTCTTCAAATGAGGTACGGAGATTTCATGATGATTACAATGCCATTAATATTTTGAGTTGATGAAATTCATGTTGTTGATGTCCATGAGCTCACACATCCAGTTATAAAGAATGCTTTATGCCCTATTTTATCCTGTAATCTATTATTTGATAAAAAAACAGTCTAATACTGAAATTAAATCTAAAAACTTCAATTACCTCTTTGCTCTTAATTGTGATATATTAATTTCCTGATCATCATCATCATCATTGTCATTTTTCCTAGAATTCTTGGCCTTCTTTTCTTCCTTCCGTACCAATTTGGCAAGCATCTTCTCTTGTTCAGAAAGCACAGATACTTGGCAGAGGTACTGTGGCATTTTGTTTTCAGGTAAAATAGCTGCAACTATGAAAGACATTGTGTATTATTTGCAAGTGATGTGTACTGTGTTAATTAAGTTAATTAAGCTAGAACTGCAGAGAACAAAATTAAAATTTTTATATTACTTATAGTTAAAGTGTACTCCGGCATTGATACATATAACGAAACAACGAGCACTGTTATTAGAATCTAAGGTATTCCTGACCTTGATCACCTAGTTAAATTTATTTAAGGCTGATTGTAACAAAGGAATCAATGCACATTAATTTATTTCATTCGAAAACAAATTTATAAATATCTCACTTTCTGTTATGCTAGGCTGTGGTGTGGGCGTCTTCAGGCTATTTATAATGTCCCGCCTATGTTCGAGTGTCTCTTGTATAAACTCAAATTTATCAAAGCCCAATAGTTCGAAGAGGTCGTTCTGCAGCTCATCATTACTTCTTGGAGAATTCAGGAATGTTATCATAGATTGTAATATATCTGAACTTGACATTCCTAATTCATTTTCATATAGTGCCTTTACTTTAGTTTCTAGCCATGTTTTCCCAAACTGTAAATGGTAAGATTTACATAAGTCATTTATAAACTAGCAGTCAAATTTGGTTATTTATGCTTTATTCTAATTGAAAAATTGTAAAGGACTATAAAATTTTAATATTTTTGATTTTATGATGCCTAAGAGCTACAGTGACCAATGGTAGATAGGTAATTCATCTGCTCTCTAACAATTATAATAAATCAAAACATACCTTAGGTTCTTGTTCTGTCTTCCTGGTTGTACTCTGTGATTGAAAACCATTAACTTTAACATTTTCCTTGTTGTATTTCATTGAGAAATCTTCTACAAAGGCACTTGCTGTAGCCGGTTTCTTTGTTAATTTGCTTAATAATCTTTTTGGAGGTTTATACGGAATGTAATAACATTGGATATTTTCGCCCCAAATTTTAAAATTGTCTTTATCTGTTCCATTTGTTTCCGATCTAATGTATTCTTTTGTGTCTTCAGATATATCATTTGATATTTGATTTACTATCTGGAAGTAAAGTGAGCAATTTTTATGTAATAATGCAAAATAGTTGTTAGAACGTATTATGTACTGTGAGCATAATCAGATCTATAATATATTCAAAATTTTGTTCCATTTCATTTATGGATTTATGTTGTTAGACTCAAATAGCACTACCCCATCTCTTATCATGGATGTCATAAAAGGCAACTAAGAGATGAATAATGGAGAATAAGTATCCAGTTGTCTGTTAATATTACTGTAATAGCTTAGTGCAATTAACAAACTGGGTATTCAAGAGGGTTTATTGTGAGTCTTCACTAAGCAATCATATTATGCTCTGCATACAATTTGACAGAGTAGGACAGGTATGGCGTAATACAATTGAGACTTCAACCTTATGTCTCATGATGACTATTGTTGGTTTGTCTGTGAGCCCCACTTATAATTCAATTCCTACCAGATGGGTTGTGCACTTGTTAAAATTAAAAGTCTATAAGAATATTATTAATTGATAATGTTCGTTATGGGTTGAAATTTATTATGATTTGGCATAAATATGGGGGAGATAGATAAAAGGTATAATCCGTTTTTTATTCTTTAGATGGTTGGACAAGCCCACCTTGTGTTAAGTGGTTACTGGAGCCCATAGACATCTACAATGTAAATGCGCCATCCACCTTGATATCTGGGTTCTAAGGTATCAGTATAGTTCCAACTGCTGCCCCAATCATCAAACAGAAACGCATTACAGCAGAAATAGACAGGGTGGTGGTACCTACCTGTGCGGACTCACAAGAGGTCCTACCACCAGATCAGATCAGATCAGATAGAAGATATATTGTTGTTAAAGAACCATTGTTAAGATGACAATTAATTTAACAACAGAATATGCAACCTATGAATTCATCCAAGCTTTAACAGTTACAATTCACATATCTTTGTAGATATTCATAGACACTCAAAACAACAGCTTATATTCAATCTTAGGATTGTTATTTACCTCACAAATTTTATTAACAGTAGTGGATGCGGCAGATCCAAATGTTTGCCTCAACTGTGAAAGATGTTTAAGCATCACTATGTCTTGATCAAGAAACATTCTCAATGTTAGCACTGCAGCGTCCTCAATGATATCGTCTGGCTGATCACCCGTGAGTAGTTTGCATGCATCTTTTAGTTGTCTCAGTAGATTCAGTAGCTCAGCTGTATTGGGTTCATTATGTTGTATGTATGTGCATATATCGCTGAATGATTTGAATCTGTCAAGAATTAATTTTAATATTAAATAAGTATCTATACTGTAGCTGTTTCGTAAATAATATAATTAAAAAGTACAGTTGCTCTGTCAGACTGACCATCACATAGCTAACTTATGATATTCGGATAAATTAATCGAAATTAATCTGAGTGAGTGAGGTATCACTAAACTATGTATTAACTCACCTTTGTAAATTTTTAGTTAATAATATTAAGTTTGCTTCATCATTTGGAGGTTTCAAGCATCGAGGTTTATCAAGCTGTGTGTGAGCCCTTAAGGCTCGTGTAATACGAGGAAGTTCTATCATGATTCAGATGATTTATTTTAATTATATCTAAAATACAAAGTATTTTAAGTAAATTTTCATAAATAGCCGCTCAACATTGCAAAATTTTATTTAAATTTGTGAAAGAGCACTATCTGTATTTTTACCTCACAATTAACTTTTTTCTCGTGCTAAAAATAAAAATTCTAGTGTAAAATAAATCCTAAAGCCTAAAGTTAAAGCTAAAAAAAAGCCTGAAGTAAGTAAATTTAGTTTGCTGAATTGAATTGGGTCTAATATGTTTTGCACAAATCAACTTTATTTTGTGCTTTACAAATACAAGTTATCACTCCACGACAGTCCACGACTACATGTCAGACAAAAATTACAAAATGTTATCTGTGACATATTAAAAGTGTATAATCTATGTCTATGACTACAGCTGATTTGATTGTTTCAGTAATGCCCGCAATCAACTTAATTCACCCCAATTTTCTGTACATTAGCAAACATACAGTAGCAGGATTAAATTAACAGTTGAAAAAGATGAAATATAACTTTTTCAATATTTACTAAAATAATATTTTTTCTTTAACTGGTGAGAGTACCATAAAGAGCATTAAGTTTGCCATTTTAGGCTCGATAATACGGGAAACAGGGATCATTAAAAATAAAATAATTATACTTCTTAATTTGGGAGCCGTGTTTGAAATCTCGAGCTGAATCTCAGTTTCGTGTATTATGCGCTTCTGTGTTGCTGTGAAAAAAGCTAAACAATAAATTATTGATGTGTTTTTTTACTTTAGCCCTACATACTTTAGTTAGTTCTTAGTCGTACAGGTCATACTTCAATTTCCTTGACTATACTATCTTGCAACTTATTTTCTCAAGTCCCAGTCAATCGGTTCTACTTCCTCGGCTGGTCACACGAGTAATCGGTGGTGCACATTAAATAAATGATTAGATCATGTCAATGTGCTGTGATCAATCAGTATGCGATTAAGCTGTAGTTGCATGTAGGTACGAGTACTCGTATTAGGGGATAAAGTATGAAATTGCCGATTTCTACTGAAAAATTGAAATTCGTTTTTTTTTCATTTAAGATATTTATTTAATCAAAATATCTAACATTATTTCCATCTAACAGGAAGGTCATTTATGCCTTTGCGATAGAACTCTAGTGATCTAGATTCTACAAACTGTGTGAAAGCATTTTGTAATGCCTCCTGGGAAGAAACTGGAAACTTTTTTATCACGTAGAAAATCACGAAAGAAATGGTAGCTAGTAGGTACGTTGGAGCAAGGTCTGGCGAATACGGAGGGTGACGAATGCTTTCTAATTGCAGTTCTTGTAGAGTTAAAACGGTTTCCCGTGCTGTATGAGGTTTCGTGTTATCATGGAGCAATAATGGTGAAGATCGATTCATGAGTCGGGGCTGTTTCACTGCAAGTTTTGCCATCATTGTTCAGAGTTCGGCACAGTAAACATCTGCCGTTCTTGCTTGACCAGATCGGAGAAAGCTATAGTGAACAACACCATGCTGAGACCACTAAACAGTTACCATTACCTTTTTATTGGTAAGCTTTGCTTTAGGACACTGTTGCGGCGTTTGACCTGGGGTTAGTCATTACATTTTTCGCTTACAGTTATCGTAAAGAATCCACTTTTCATCGCATGTAACAATTCGATCCAATATTCCTTCATTTCTGTATCTATTCAACAAGGCAACACAAGTTTCAACACCCGTTTCTTTCTGCAGATCAGTCAAATCATGAGACACCCATTTTACATAAATTTTTATTTTATTGATTTGACGCAAATGGGTCAATATTGTTGGTAAGGTAACGTTAAACCATGCCGCTAATTCTTGGGTAGCTTGGCTCGAATCGGCTTCCACCATCTCTTTCAATTCATTGTTATTCACATGTATGGTCGGCCTTCCACGTGGTTCGTTCCACAAATCAAAATTTCCATCACGAAAGCGTTTAAACCAAAATAGCACGGTGCGTTCATTAGGAGTCCCCTCTCCAAACGCAACATTGATATTGCGAGCTGTTTCTGCAGCGTTAGTTCCGGTAACCGCACTCGTCGAACTCGGCAAAGAGTTCGACGTGCAACCTAATCCATTCATCAGCCCGCTGAGTTTCTCGCCCGATCTTCTCAGTGGGTCCCGATTCCAATTCGGTAGTAGATTCATTCGCGAAGCAGTTGCTCTTGAGTTGTTAGGTCTCCTTTGGAGGCGCTCGGGCAGCTCTTAACTAATCCCACTCCTCCTGGCTGAGTCTTTGCTCGCTCACCTGTCCTGGTGCAATTGGAAAGGCCTCCGGGCCACCAGTAATCCCTCATTCTTAAAAAAACGGTAATTTATGTAAATAAGATTGTTGCTCGATGTTAATTGTTCAGTTTTTAGCTTCGATCAACAATAGTAACTACTATTTACTATTGTTGATCGAAGGTTTTTAGTGAAAAATTTCTTCACAATGATGACCTTGTGCGAATGCGAATTATCCTGGTGTAAAATACAAGAATTTTCTTTCTACAAATCAAGCCTTTTTTGTTGAATTTGCTCTCTTCTATAAGAGAGAAAATTATGCGACGTACCTATGTCGCATGATGCGACGTACCTATGTACGTCGCATCATGCTCAAATAATATTCTTTATTTACCGTTTGACAATCCGGCAAGAATTCCGAGTGCACAACACCACGATAGTTAAAGAAAACAGTAAATACTCCGAAACTTATTGACTAGATAGCATGTCAAACTCGCTTTTTGCCACTGTACGGTGACAAAAAGCTGGATTCGTCATCACGCTTGTGATGTACATCAGTATTTTTGATTATTCCAGCGACATTCATGCTATCGTGTAGGACTTTGGTGGTGGTGGCATAAGGTGAGCCGTCAGCTCGCCGAGAAAGGGAGTTTGTTAAGTGATATTAGTATTATCAGCAATCCAAAGGGCTCTCTTCTCTGTAGAATCAAATGCAAGTACACACCTAATGACCGCTACTTATTAATTCCAGAGTTAGGAGCAGATGGGAGAATCAAAAATCTATAGTTGTGAGAAAAAAAAATTTGTACAGGAAAGTATTTAATATTTAGAATTACCACATTTGCCACGGGCCCGAGCAATGATTTTCTCATGCATAAATCTCTCAGCAGTAAATAACAATAATACCCTATGCTGTGAAGGAAACCTATGGTAGATGAAAACGCGCAACGAATTAATGTAGTTAAGAAAAGAAAACAACACAACATTTTTATTGTTATTAAATTTGCTTTATTTCAGTGAAGCAGTAATACAATAATTTGGTACATTCAATATTTTAGTAAAACCTTTAATTAAACTTTTATTTCATGATGTGATTACAGTGATATCATTACTTAAATCTAATCGATATAAGTTTCACAAGTTTAACATTAAGAACATTTTATAAACTACAAACATTTTGAACGAAGAATACTGTTACTCGGATATCACGGAGTTTCAGCGATAATGTAGTTAATAGCTATGGAATTTGAAAATGTTTTATTTTTAAATTTCCTTTACAGACCTTTATAAACATTTAATACATACATTATTACCTACTAAAATGCTGTTTAAAACTAGATATTTACGACACACCTTATCGCAATGTGTCTATGCTAAGCTAAAATTCGCAACTTCGGACATTTTTCGTTTGTAAGTAAGTTTATTCCAGGCATCATAAAACAAAATACATAACAAGTATAGATATTCAATATTAGGCTGTACGCGATCTTGTCGTTTAACTTGTTAGGCTTGGTTATATGATGCGTGAAACAGCCTTAAATAACTAGCTATAATAAATATACTTAAATAACTACAGCCTAAATCAAATGCAAATCTAAAACACACGCTGATTTAGCTACATACGCTTTTAAGATTATATGCGTGGCAATAATGCAAAACAAAAAAAAACTAATTATTTATGCTATAAAACTTTCATTTCTAGACGCCGGAATATGAAGTACTTAACATTTATAAGTCATTTGCTTATATGAATTACTGTGGAATTTTGATCTGGGACTTTCGCCCGTTGTTCCTAATGCTGTAATCGAGTTTCTTGGTTGGTATTATTAGATATATCGTTAAAATATTTCATACAATATATTGTCTGTCATTTTTATTTGGTGTTTGGTATGGCTGTTTTCTTTGGAGTACTATATGATGGTTGAAATGCGTTCCGATTTGATACGAACGGTTTATTTGTGTCAGCTTTACATGTTTGAGATTATGTTGAAATTTAAAGGTAACAAAATCAAACACATAATATAATTAGGTGCTAAATAAAGCCACATCAGTGAGAAGTGAAGATTACTGTCATTCTATAATAAGTTACGTTAATAACACTAATCCTATATTAAAGACTGGTGTATTTGTTTTTTACCTTACAGTGAAATAAAACCTCAAATTTTGAAATGTGTCCGTTTCGTTCTCAAAATTTATTCATAAAAGTTACAAAGAATGAATTAATTATATTTGATGTGAGTAGCATTGGTTATACAGTAACTTTGGCTATTTACCATGAAGTGTCAATGTCATCGGTACCCAAAGAACACATTTCAAAATTGAAGTTCTTTGCTACGATTATTTACAAACACCTTCCTAAGATTTTAACAACGAAGTGCTTATGTAAAAGCACAAAGAACCATAATCTTTATATACGGAATATAAAAACTATGCCAAAAAATGAAAGAACGGAACAGAGTGCTTTTTTCCAAGGAAAAAGCACATTCTGCTCAACGTGGCTCAGCCTTAAATTTTATGGCATATTTTTTAAAGTCCAGCATCATACGGCCTATACACAAATATCTAAATATATTTTACTTGATCAAATCAATTTAAATACTTTTAACGATATATTGCATACGATACTGACAAAATCCGAACTATTAACACAATCACATCGATATACGTGATTAATTAATCTAAATTGTTTTCAAACGCCTAAATATGAATGTTTATAGTTTCTAACTGACTACGAAGCTTTTTATTTAATTTGAATACTTGTAATAATTTCGAATATTTTTAGATTAATGTAAATGCAAACGATTATATACTTTTAAAACGCATTATATAATTTTAAAACACAATGTAGAAGTCTAAAGTACTTAAGCTAGATTAAATCTAAGTTACTGGAATAAACAATATTCAGTGACTGTATTTCAAACTCAAAGAGGATACTTGAAATAATAAAAATAAATCCTTATATCAAAAATGGTTCGAAATGGAACTTACGTTAATTGAATTTTAAACTGGTCACAGTAATGTTGTATAAAAATGAAAAATATTCAAAGTAATATCATTCAAAAAGTTTTAGAACACTTTTAACTAGAGGAAGCAACACAGTTGAAAGAACTGTAAAAGCTAAAACTTACTTCAAGCAGAAATAGTATAAAGTTAAAGTATTTATTTCAAAAAGCCTCAACACACTTTTCAACCACGCAACAACCTGCATTAAACAATTAAATTATTAAAAAAAATAAAATAAATACATTTAAAAATAGTAAGGCTAGAAAAAGTATTGTTATATAAACCAAAGAGTTTGTTTGATATAATTAAAAAAAAACTTTCTGATAGGATCACATATTTTCAATAAATTCTTATCTAATAGGTAGAAAATAGGTAAGTATCTTTTTCTTAACAAAAAAAGATCATCTAAAAATACACTATATTATCAGTGTTTTAAATGTGATTTAGGTAAACGAAATGTGTCTAAGACGCGTGATTTTCGAAATACCAATAATACATTTTTAAATATGTTTAAATACTATATACGGAGGTATTTAATATACTGATAAAATATACATCGATATTATAATTATAGTGATAAGTTATAAGGAAACTATACTAAATAAAGGTCTTGATGATGAAGTCAGCATTCGTGCCATCTGAAAAAAATAGGTAATCATCAAATAAAATACTTTTCATTATTAACAGTTTCGTAACAATTAAATAAAATCTCACCATACATGAAATCCTTCACACAAGATGTTTACAGACCTAGAAAATATTATTGGATTAGCTTTGAATAACGTATATGATAGCAATAATTATTTATCATAAGAAATGCATTAAATAGTATTTAATTAGACAAAACAATAAGGGTATTGGGGTTTGTTGCAAAATTTTAAGTATGTTTAATGTTTAAATTCATGCGAATAAGGAATTTTATGATAATGAGTCTTTAATGTTTTTTTTTTTTCATTACTGTCCATTACGAATAAACGTTTTTATAAAAACTAACTTAAAAATTTAAATAATATCATTTCTCTCAGCAATCTTTGTTTCTAGGAATTCGTTAACATTGTAATATTTAAAAAAAAAATATAGCACTTTTATTTACAGATCTGAGGTAGGTTATATGCTATTGACCTTGGTTACTGATTTAAAAGCATTTTAGCTATAACATTATTCACTTAAGCTTTTTAAGCTGCTCAAACTGCACAATAATATTTTTATGACCTAAATTTTTCGTAAATTACCGATTCTGTAATATGAAGCTTCTAAATTTTCGGATATTGTTAAGGTAAGCGTTCTTTGATGTTATAGATTAGTATTTCTTGCGTTAAGCTATTTGACAACACTAGTTATACTCGTATGGCTATTGATTTTTGTCATTTTTAATTTAGTATATATAATATAAAGAGCAATTTCAGATACAAGAACAACAGTTGCAAAATAAAGCTGATTATATTTTTGTCTGGAAGTAAATTATTCATATCATAGTATGAAGTGTTAGATATGTGTTGTGAGTGGTATTGGAATAATGTCTCAAGTTTTTCATGCGCAATGAAAGCTACCTTGGGTCTGTGTATCTATTAAAAAACAATTGAAATTGTAGTCACTGTATTCAGAGCCACATACGTATTTCTGTCCTAAAACCCAATAGGCATTATAGTTTGCAATGTACGGATCTGTTTTTTAAGACTATTGAGATTAGAGGTATGTATAATTTCTGAAATCAATAAAATTTAATGTTATGTATGATATGAATAACTACTAACAGAGAGCTAGAAGACCGAAACGCTATAAAACATTTCGACAGACACATATACGTATACGAAGTGATATAATAGAACAGATAAAGCCAACATTTAATATCAACAATCACATTACGATCGCCCACTTACCAACAAAGGCTTAATACCAATAACGTAACGATTAAAAACAACATACGTTATATACTAGGTATTAACATTATAACAATAACTTCTATAATATACTGCGGTTACCGAAATGTGTTCACACAAAGTTGGCTGAAAATTAGGAAAAATAATCACATCATTAGTCTAGTAACTTAATTTCAAGTAATATTTTTGTTTTTGTTTCTCTAGTTGCCGATGTGATTAAAAAACTTTTGCGGCTTTGATACCTTGTTTATTTTAATCGAAAACGTGGTTTCGCTTTGGTTTAAGATAAACCGTAAAAGTGTTTTATGCACGTGAATCGATTTTTTTTGTTGATAATGTGAATTACTCACCAATGATTAGAGCCAGAATGATGATTCCAATCACGGCTGCGATGATCATCATCTGTAATCACATAAATCGGGGGGTCAATTTCAAATATCAAAGGCCTTAAGGTATCCACCATTTTTATTGGTGGTAGGACCTCTTGGCAGTCCGCGCGGGTAGGTACCACCACCCTGCCTATTTCTGCCGTGAAGCAGTAATGCGTTTCGGTTTGAAGGGTGGGGCCGGTGTACTTGAAACCTTAGAATTTATATCTCAAGGTGGATGGCGCATTTACGTCGTAGATGTCTATGGGCTCCAGTAACCTCTTAATACCAGGTGGGCTGTGATTTCGTTCACCCATCTAAGCAATAAAAAAATATCCCATTTGATGCTTAACAACATGCGCTGAGCTCTGTTTGTTTACGTTATTAAAAAAGAAAAAACACTTTCGGTAAAGTATATACATTTGCTTAATCTCTAAATGATGAAAACGATAAATGATATTGATGTTACAAAAATCTGTTGTCATACCTTTAAGTTCTGCAGCCAGAATTTGCTCTTAAGCTTGCCGGCTTGCTGTTCAAATTGTGAAGCGCCTTGTTGTAGTGCATCTATAAGCACAACAAAACGTTATCCTCTTGTTACTTGCATTGTTACTTACTGGTGGTAGGACCTTTTGAGTTCGCACGGGTAGGTACCACCACCCTGCCTATTTCTGCCGTGAAGCAGTAATGCGTTTCGGTTTGAAGGGTGGGGCATCCGTTGTAACTATACTGAGACCTTAGAACTTATATCTGAAGGTGAGTGGCGCATTTACGTTGTAGATGTCTATGGGCTTCAGTAACCACTTAACAGCAGGTGGGCTGTGAGCTCGTCCATCCAACTAAGCAATAAAAAAAAATTGCTTCATTTATTGATGAGAGTTTATGTAGATTAAACTTTAGCAGTATCTTAGATTAAAAGATGTTTGATAAAAAAAAAAATCGCACTAAACGACATTTTCCAAAGAAGTTTTAAGCACTAAGTAAGTGCTTTACTAACACCCATTCTGTCGACTGTAGAAGAATTTTCCTTTTTCGTTCCCGGGGGATTGACGAAAATTACATTCAAATTACAGGTCATAAAGAATTGTAAATTACGAAATGAGATTTACAAATATTAAAGAGAATTAGAGCATTTGCATTTGATGTCAATACAGACAATTTTATTGTTAGTAATTTCCGAATTTAATTCTAGAAAATCAGTAACTGACAGGCAATAGGTAGTTTTGTAGAATTACTATTTAATTTCGTGCTTATTTTAATAAGATTCAAATTTCATCACAAAAACATACTCATTCGAAATGTATGTATTTGAATGGACGATATTTGACAATAAAGAAAACTCTTAATTTAAAGAAAAATAAAGCTGAATTAATCCTATATTGAAACCTTACCTGCTCTGTCGTCAAGTTCGGAGAGCTTTTGATCGCGCTCCAGAACTTTTTCCACGTTTGTTTTCATTATATCAACGACCTGAAAACCGATGTATAATCATAGGTTTATTCAACGGCCGAGGGGGCGCCTTAAAAATATTTGGAGGGACGTTGTGAAAGAGGATATGCTAGAGAAGGGTGTGATTGCAGAGTTGAGTGGAAATTAGTGGAGAAAGAGGACATAGTGCTTCGATCCCATGTAGTGGGACAAGAACAAGTAGATGAATAGTTTTATTCAATGGCAAAATTAATAGTTTTGAATACGCCATTCTTGAGTTTTAGCGAGACTAACGAACAGTAATTCATTTTTATATAGATAGATAGATAGATTATAAACTAAATGGCTTTCCTGTAAAGCAAAAATGTCGTTTAACCCAAATAGCTTTTCACCCCTCGATATGGATTATTACATCCAACTATAATCTCTGACGCAAGCGTAATGACGTCAAACGGAAACATCCTTAGTAAAACATTATGTGATATTATTATTATGTTCGTGCCTAGCGCTTCATTTATTTATTGAGAGTGGTTGGCGTTTACGAGGTATGTTGATAATGTAAGTCTATTATTAACGTTGACAATACGTTTAACGTATATATTCTTTAAATTTGGGCGTATAATAAATTTTACTCTGTTTTGTAGCCTTAATGTATGTTAATATTAAAATTAACATTATGCTATATCATTGTCTCATTAAAAAAATCAGAATTCGAAGTATAAAAAGTTAATATGAGAATAATTTGCGTATAAATTGCGTGTTATTATTATCTATACTTGGACTCATGATTCACCTAATGATCAGTCAACGGTCTTCGATATTTAGAGACATTAGCAATGCCAGAAACACATCTAGAATCGCAGCTTATCTCTAAACGGCTTAAGAAACGTCCTAAAATGGGGTTCATTCCAGAGGCGAATAGTAAGTGGCAAAAGATCTCTGAAAATCCACTGTGCATAGCGTACTGATTCTGGGCTACATCGATGAACTTAGCTTCTGTGGTGGGTGGTGAGTGATGGTAAAAAGAAGGCGAGAGAGTCATTTTACAGGATTTCTTATAGTCCTCCTTGCAGTCTACTCGACATTTTTTAATACTACATACGTAAGATGAAGTTCTTCGATTGCTAATCAAAGATGTAAGATCGGGCTGGAACTAGTCAATTCTGTTGTTTTTACACACTTCGTAATTGAAAGGATTTTTAGGTTTATATGATTTAATAATGCTACTCACTTGACTTGACATTTCTATTGCATACCGGTTGTCTCGTTCTACTATTGGAATGCATGACAGTTTTGCTCCATAAATTGACTGGACAGTGGAACTTTGGATTGCGGGTTCGCAAAATAGCCCGTAAATCTCTCGTAATCGTAACTTTGCGTTTTATTACAAAAACCGGATGAAACTCGTTTAAATAGAATTGGAATTGCGAAAAGTATGAAAAGGAATACGAAAAACGTGTTTACGCAAACACGGACCCAAAGGAATACGCTCAATTTCCTGTTTGATTTCCAGGAAATACGGCGCGTATTGGATGTGAGTAAGCACGGTGAAAATTAATTAATCGACATGCATTGTTTCAAATCGACATTTACTTAATATTAAAAAGAATAAATATTGTGTACTGGAATAGGGTATGCTTTGTTGTACACCAATAGAAAATGAATACAAATGCAAAACATTACATATAAAAAGTACAATGGACTTATCAATAAGACAGCCATCGAGTGGACATTAATCATTTTAGAAAATAAGTTGTCCGCAAGTTAGTTATTGATTGACAAAAAAAAGATAATAACTAATAAAATATAATATTATTACATTACACATAAAAAATAAATAAACAATTAATGAACACAAATAGATAGAGGAAAAAAGTTATGAGTCCCAGAAATATGCATTCCATAGATTTCAGATTTCAAATGTCAATTATATTTAACATCATCCATATTTAATAAAGAACTCCGACTGAACAGCGAATGTAAGCTGTTTAGAGGACAAAACCAAGGAAATTATTCAAGTGTTATATTATATCAAATTAAATAGACTATGGTTAAGTCCTATCCGTTTAGTTTGTGTAATTGAATTTGCATAATTGTCTACAAGCTTTAACTCTAGTATAATGTTACTTGTCTAGCCCTCAAGATATGTTTGATGCGATCCTATATGTACGAGCCTCGTATCTAAAAACTTTAATTACATAACTATATTTAATGTATTTAAAATATTTTTAATATTTATGTGCATTTTATGCAAGTCTTTCACTTATATTTTATGTACTTGTATGCTCGTAAAACGTTATGGAGAGTTGTTATCAAAGCTTATAATAAACAAGGATTCTACATGATCACGATTGCTCTGCCAAGAGTAGCCGACTATGATGATGACTGGTGGTAGGACCTCTTGTGAGTCCGCGCGGGTAGGTACCACCGCTCTGCCTATTTCTGCCGTGAAGCAGTAATGCGTTTCAGTTTGAAGGGTGGGGCAGCCGTTGTAACTATACTGAGATCTTAGAACTTATATCTCAAGGTGGGTGGCGCATTTACGTTGTAGATGTCCATGGGCTCCAGTAACCACTTAACACCATGTGGGCTGTGAGCTCGTCCACCCATCTAACCAATAAAAAAAAAAAAAACTATTTTTCGTTTTAATATATCAAACAATAAACTACCTAACTTCGGTTCTCCTTCATCGTTGAATTCCTTAGACAATAAGACAATGTATATTAACGTACATCAAGTAAAATAAATGAATAAAATTAAGTTAATTATATGTGAGCGTATGTGTGTACATGTAATACATGTATACACACAAGGTATTTAGGCATCTGTTCAGTTGTTAAATTTGTTCTATATGCACCTGTTTAGAATTGCAATCCAGATTGCTATGTTAAATATTTAAATTTATAATTTCTATGGTTGTAATTTGTTTTGTGCATCAATAAAATAAAATAAAAAAGGTGAATTGTGTAACAGTACATTTGATATTATGTTAATAAATACCTCATCGACTTGAGCTTGGGTTTGTTGCAAGCGACGTTGGGCGGCAATCTGCTGGGGCGTCTTTGGTCCGCCCACGGGCATGTCATCACCGCCCGGCGCCAAGCCACCCTCCGTCGCCCTGCGTGGTGACGTCATCAATATTCATTATGTACACGATAAGGTCAGACAGATGACCCGTAAATACATAGGAATTTATTTTTGGAATTTAAAACTTTCATTGATTTATTTGTAAGACTCAAGTTGAATTCGTTACGTAAGTTTTCTTTTATGGACGAGGGGTTATTACTGGCCCGGAGGCTTTTCCCGTTTCACCAGGACCGGTGGGGGTTATGTAAGTGTAGAAGATGAGTGATAGCAATGGATTAGTATTTTTTCGTAGCTCGTTACATAAACACATAAATCTAGTAAAATATATCTAGTTTGAAGGCGTCGTAACCTAAAGGATAAGACGCCCGGTGCATTTATGTAAGACAATGCGACGGTGTTCGAATCCCGCAGGCTGGTACCAATTTTTCTAACGGAATACGTACTTAATAAATGTTCCCGCTGACTTCCACGGTGAAAGAATAACATCGTGTTATAAAAATCACACCCGCAAAATTGTAATTTGCGTAATTACAGGTGGTAGGACGTCTTGTGAGTCTGCACGGGTAGGTAGCACCACCCTTCCTATCTCTGCCGTGAAACAGTAAAGCGTTTCAGTTTGAAGGATGGAGCAGCCATTATACTCTAAAAACTGAGACCTTAGAACTTTTGCCTGAAGTTGGGTGGCGCCATTTACGGTCTCGTGTGAGTTCGTCGACCCAAATTAAAGAATCTTACTAGAAAATCGGTTCCAAAGTAAAAAGTCATTTTTGTCACCTTTCTCCTGGTTAGGGTAGGCTGATATACGGTAATAAAATTCGAAATAAACGAATGTCTTGAAGTAGGTTAAAATAATCTCGTTGAAAGATTAATTTTATTCCATGTTAAGCTAATGAGAGCTTTTTAAAATACCAAGTCATTCACGATCTATCTCTATTTCTATACAATACGGAGAGTTCCTTCTGTTATGTACGATATGTTAGTAATATAGTTCTGTGAGGTCATCGGTGGTTCATCGATATTCCTTGTGTGGTGTAGAACCCAAGAGACATCTGAATAATATTGAACTAAAAAAAAAAGGTTCGGTAATAAATCCCCTCTTATAAATTATAGGTCAATGATATTGTTTGACATCATTATTATCTATAAGCCTTTTGGCTTTTCTTTGATGATAATTGCGTGCAATGGACCCTTACTCATTTTCACCGAAATTGTTGAAAGGCTTAATAAGTAATTATAACTTTTGTACCAGATTGCGATATTTGATAAAGGGAGTGCTAGTTGATGTAGTGTTTAATAAAAAAATAATTAAACTAAGTTTATTTATGGAGCGTTTCACAATTGGAATGGATAGTATTTTATATGTTTTTATTTTTTATTTTTATTGCTTAGGTGGGTGGACGAGCTCACAGCCCACCAGGTGTTAAGTGGTTACTGGAGCCCATATACATCTACAATGTAAATGCGCCACCCACCTTGGGATATAAGTTCTAAGGTCTCAGTATAGTTACAACGGCTACCCCACCCTTCAAACCGAAACGCATTACTGCTTCACGGCAGAAATAGGCGGGGTGGTGGCACCTACCCGTGCGGATTCACAAGAGGTCCTACCACCAGTGATTACGCAAATTATAATTTTGCGGGTTTGATTTTTATTACACGATGTTATTCCTTCACCGTGGAAGTCAATCGTGAACATTTGTTAAGTACGTATTTCATTAGAAAAATTTGTACCCGCCTGCGGGATTCGAACACCGGTGCATCGCTACATACGAATGCACCGGACGTCTTATCCTTTAGGCCACGATGACTTCAATATCGCATTATATATGTGCATTAAAATATCGATAGTACAGCAGAGGTTCTAAGTTTATTGTTGTAATTTTCGTAGCTGGATGACTACATATTATATAATAGCTAATACGAGTGACTAACAAATAAAGAGAGAGAGAGAGAGAGAGAATACACTTTATTGCACACCAAAACACAATTTACATTCAAAAAAACAATCAAAAAACAGATAAATTTGTACAATAGGCGGTCTTATCGCTAAAAGCGATCTCTTCCAGACAACCGTATAATTTATAGAAATTCTGGAAAATATAAAAAAATATAGCAGGTATGTTGCGGTGTAGTATAGATAATACATTATAGAAAATATATACATACAATAAACAAAATATATACCGTTTACATATAATATGAAATATATACTTATTATTATATACCAATATACATACTTACATACAATACATACTAATATACTTACATACACATAATACATCAACCATGACGGCATTAGAATATTGCCGTGTGGTGACGGCATTAGAATACTTTTGTCACCACCCCCATTACCATCCCAGGGGAGTCGTAAGAGGCGACAAAAGGGAAAGCATAACACACAATATTTACTAGTGTGAGAGAAGGAAAACTCGAAATTAAACCCTGTACCAACCCGTCTAGCCAGCGTGGTACCAGTAGGCTAATAAACCTCCAAAATGATTGCACAAATCTATTGGAGAGGCCTATGTTCAGCAGTGGACGGCGATAGGCTGAAATGAATATGACGGCGTTAACAATATTTCTAATGAACATCACGTGCAACAGGCGTGACTCACACAAGCCGGGTGCGCCGGCCGTGTCGTTCCACTCGTGCAACAGAAGTGACTCATAAGCCAGCTGCGCCGGCTAGTATAAAAAGGCGGTGCGTGCCTTGCGAGAAACATTCGTTGGACTGCGCTTGCCTGGTGCACTTACTATATCCTTGTTACGTTGTGTGATTCAGTGACTGTTGTACGTACTGGTTAAAGTTGGACAAGTGTTAAAGTGAATTGTTAAGATAACATATTGTTGATTAAATCAGGAACCAAAAAGTGACATCGTTTTACTTGGTGTTCAATAAGATAATATCTACCCTCGAGCTTACATCAGAAGTGGGATCAGGACTCTACTCTCACTGGCGTGACGTGTTTGAACATGTTCGAAGTACAGCAAAAAAAAACATGATGCAGATCAGAATACTAGTAGTGGTACGCCACAAGAGCGTGAATGCAGCATACGTAAGTCGTGTAATACCTCGATGGAAGATCTGAGCCACGAAGAAATCGTCACATCTTACGTTCTGGCTCATGTTGCCCAGTTTGACTGTCGACCTCATCACATGGCATTTACTAACGGAAATATAACACGTAACAAGCTATTGCAAGAAATTAAGGCAAGTGCAAATCTCAAGTAAAACTTCGATCGCAATAATGGATCTGTCATGACGAGTGGGTAGTTCCGACACGAATCGTTTTTAAGCCAATGACTACTGCTAGAGTTACATGGCACTAGTACAGTAAACCAGGACATGAGACTGTGAATTGTCGCTGAAATTTTAGAATCCAATTCAATACCAATAACACTACACGTTCGATGACTTCGGGCTCCAGCAAGCAAGCAAACAAGAAAGCAAGCAAGTTTCCGTGGGGAAGAAAAATTGACACATCTGAAGTCGTCGNCCAGAGCTTCAGTGTGTTACAGATAAGTGGTTTTGGCTTCCCCTTTATGTTCCATTCAGGGTCAGAATGTAGTCTTATAAAACAAAGTCATAGTAATTTATTCAATGGTAAGCGGTTTCATGAACAAGTCACTCTTTGATCTGAAAGTAACTTAGACCAATCATGATGGCAAGAGCACTTAGGGGATATTCAACTCGCCCTTAATAGTACACGTTGTCGAGTAACAGGCTTTACTCTAATAGAATAGATGTTTGCCCTTCAGGGTAGTTCACTTGAAATATCGAAAGTTTCAAGAATGATAATCCCTCTAATTAGTTATTTATTTAGCACGGTCGAAGGCCTGCGAAAACATAAAAAAGGGCACAAACAGAAGCTTGGTTTAGTCGAGGCAAAGCTAGTCAAACTATTTTCCGCTGGGGATTTTGTTTTCGAAAATATAAAGGTCCCTTCAACATTAATGCACCCCGAATCCTGATCACGCAGGAGCAAGTCACCGTCGTCGCCCTAGACACGTCCTCACGGATCCATCAGATCCAATAACTCTTGCATTAGATACCTTCAGCTCTAACACTAGGAGCAGGCTGAGGAACCCCGGTAACCGTTCTTGTCGAACTCGACAAAGAGGTCGACGTGCAACCTAATCCATGCATCAGCCCGCTGAGTTTCTCGCCGGATCTTCTCAGTGGATCGCGATTCCGATCCGGTAGTAGATTCATTCGCGAAGCAATTGCTCTTGAGTTGTTAGGTCTCCTTCGGAGGCGCTCGGGCAGTTGTTAGCAAATCCCACCCCTCTTGGCTGACCCTTTGCTCGCCCACCCGTCCTGGTGAAGCTGGAAAGGGCTCCGGGCCAACAGTAGTCTATCAATCATTAAAAAAAAAAAAAAAAACAACATTACTCTGAAGTTTTGGAAAACGATAGGTATAAGTTGAGACATGTAAATGGTTCTACTAGAACACAACAAATTGTGTACAAATTTCTCCATGAAAAGTTACGCAAAGTACCTCGAGGCCAGGCCCGTCAGGCCTACTAGAAATTTCTGAAAATTATAGTGACGATGACGTGGGTTAAGTAATCTTGTTCATGAAACTGATCTTAATGATGACGACTCTATCACTGATAATAGAAGCGACATTTTTATCCGCAAATAGCGATACTATGTCTGTGGGTAGTGATACAATGTCTGTTAGGTCAGGCACCTCGGGTGCAGGTGTTGGAAATGTAGAAAACGATGGTCGGTCTCGCACTATTTCTGAAGAAAGTCCGTATAAATGTTCTGGCTTAAGAAATGTTCAACAAATGCTACCGTACACGCAGAGTAAAAAAAAAAAAGAAAAAAAAGAAAAAAAAAAGTTTGAAGTCATTGAAGGGTGTATCCGGTCCAATGACTTGGCTAAAGGGATGTTAAATCCGGACCAGCAAAAAAAAAAAAAATTTGTAGGTCGTTGAAGGGTGTATCCGGTCCAACGACTTGGCTAAAGGGATGTTAATCCGGACTAGCAAAAAAAAAAAAAAAAGTGTGAAGTCATTGAAGGG